ACACATTCGTAGATATATATATCTCCAAGTTATATTTTTGCCTCGTACGCTCGGAGAGCACAAAGTTTTTGATATATTCCGAGCTCGAAGCTTTTGCCTTCACGCTTGAATCGATACATCCTTGAAGTCGAAATAATAATAACAATTACCAACCTTTGGTTTGCTGTGGACGTGCGTTACTTTGAATCAATGCCAAAAGGATTGATCACCTTGAGTTCTATATGTATTCAAGCGCTATTTACGTAACAAAGTAAATTTACACAACGACGCCTTCTAACGAGTCGAAACGAGTTCAGAATAAATGACAAATAATAGTAAGACAAGAATGTCAGTCGCGATGACGAATAGTAACTGCGCATTAGTCATAAACAGAGTTTTTCATTTCGCACTGTTGATCATGAGCTTCGTGCATTCGTGTTTATAAGCATCGCGCGCGCATGGTAATTATACACTCGAGCTGGCGGAACAGTAATCCAAGAATAGCGACGAGTGGGGGACGATTGGCTCGGGTTCCCCTCGCTCCGATATAATACAACTTTTTTTTTGAAATGTATATTTACGCAGATGTATGCAAGCCAATTTAAATGCAAGAGAACCGAACCGAATATAACGAATGTTCGTAAACAGGAAAAAACTGGTTTTCGCGATTGACGATTATCTTTCGCAAGTTCGAATTATACTTGAAAAACTTGATTCTTTGGTCTTTCGAAATAATATTCTGCAAAGCATCGGACGTATGGATGATTACTTTTTTATCTTTTTTATAAAACTAAAGGAAGATTAAAACGCCGAACGGATAATCAAATGCAAATATAACCTACTTCTTATCTTTATAGTGCTTCTAGAATAGTATTATATGGTTCACTAAGAGCATTAATGATTTTATACTTTGCGGTCAATAAAAAATTGAACGCTCGGAACATATTTTAGTCATTAGTCAAACGATAAAAAGTTTCACGAGCATTTTTTACTTACATTTGATACTGAAAAATGCACTAATACATCATGCATCGTGGCCCTTTTTCTGTGTCTATATATTAAGCAATTAAGTTTTTAAAATAGAAATAATTTAATCATCAAGCCCGATTGCATGACTGCGCCAACACAATTTGCGTTCATTAGTGGTCATAAGCTATGACGCAGAGCTCGAGCGGCAGTACCTTGAATTTATACAGCACTAAGTCTCTAATTGGTTCTGCGCCGTGACTTTCTTTATTGCTTTTCGCGAATAATGATACCTATTACTTCGGCCGACTGGTGCGCGGATATTAATCAATGCCATTCGAAGAAGTCGTACAACAATAACAAGAAATGGTAGAGCTCTTGGGTGCTCTGTAATATAAAAACGTACAGCGCGGACGGCGTGACTCATCTCTTTTTTTTCTCTCCAGTCATTAGTTTTAAAAATACTCCCAAGGTCTTGCGCAATTCTTATTTTTTGCAACGAGTTATTATGCGCCTTGACTGGTTTTTGTTCCACGGCTACTTATAAGTATACTTCTTTTTTGCTATATCGCAATCATAACAATTTGAAGTACGATGTTTTTACTTTATCTTTGCGCTCTTCGTGATGTTTGCGAAACATGAAAGGAGAATTGCAAATTTACATTGAAAAAAAATATTATCAACAGAATATCTTTCAACGTTGACTGTCAGTTGAAGCGATTACAATTTATCTTAGTTAATATTTTTATATTTGATACAATAATTTCAATATTGTATCAACTTGATATTACATCGAACTAATTACGAAAACCTCTTTTTTCTCATAAAAAGTTAAAGTTAGCGACGAATTTCAGTATTTTTGGGTGAAACAAAGCAAAATTGATCACAACATGTAATTTAAGAATATTAAATGGCGATACTTTTGATTAGTTCAATTTTCAAGGTTAGGATATGTGGGCGTGGCCTAAGACGCCATTACGTGACACGTAGACAAGATGGCCGCTCCATCAACATAACCTAAAATTACGGAATCGTGTTTACAAAGTACACGTATTATCCGATTCTCGTAGTTTTTTTATGTTAAAATAAAGTGCATAAGTGAAGTTGGGAGTTTTTTAGTGGAATAACCCTCGTCATTAATTATTTTTTATTAAGTTTTACTTCCTAAGTTTCTTTATATAACTACGTTTGTGAGAAATACCAAGAGCTGGGAAAGTTTCACCAGCGCGTGTTTGCAATTTCCTGAAAAACATTTCAACGTGAAATTTCGAAACTTGCTTTTTGTTGTCTCATCTAAAATTAATGCCAGCGCGGCGTGAAAAATTCCCCAAGTAGAAAACGCAAAAGAAAGTTACGACAGAAGACAAGGCAGAAATAGTCGAGAGTCGACCTCGTTTCTAAAACTCTCCGAACTCCACCGTTAGGGAAACGAGAAAATCGACGCAATCTCGAGAATTTCTCTTTTGCTCCTTTTATCGCTAGCGCAACATACGAGTTTTTTTATCTCTTCTCCTTTTTTTTAGAGAGAGAAAAATTGCGTGAGTTAAAAAAAAACTCAGAATAAATGAGTAATTTCATAAGCTCGCGCTGAGCAAAGAGAGAGTTTCATTAAAGTTGGTTTCTCCGCTGCGTGTTTTTCTCTCTCCTCTCGCTCGTTGATTCAGGCCGTGAGTTTTTTTCCCCCTCGCGTGTTACAACGGGAATATAAATTGAATCCGCAGCGAAGGTTGTGAAAAACGAGGTCTTTAATCTGAAGTTTCACACAGCGCAGAGACTGTACAGCTCGTATAATTATATATATTCTGCGCCAAGTAAGCCCACACTATATACCGTGCATAAAGCTCTCGAGTTTCACAGCGCGAGAGAGAGGAGAGCCAACCGCCGCAGCCAGATTCACATATACGCGCTCCACGCACACAGCCTCGAGCGCTAAAGTTTCGCCTCTGTGTGTGTACGTGTGCAGTCGTATAATTCTAAGCCGTCAGCATTTTGCGCGCATAGTTCCCTCTTCCAATCCTACCGGCACTATTTACCACTACTACCAGGCTGGCGGCGAACGGCGCGCGCGCCACTACTGGCATTAGTGCCGGGGCAAAATTCTTACTGCCAGAGCCACAGCAGCGTCGAGTACCCGTTCTCTCGAAAATGACAGAGAGAGAGAAAAAGCACGCGGGAGAGAGAGAGCGAGAGATAGTGAACTTTGGTTGCTAGGCAACGTTAAGTACTGTTCAGCCGAGTTGGAATTACTTGCCACACGGACGCACACACGCCCATACTGTATAGTGGCTGTGTGTGTGTGCAAATCCCGTACTCAATTCTCTGGCTCTCTCACTCGTGCTGCAGGCTTTCCCGTCTGACTATCTCGCTTTCTCTCTCTCTCTCTCGCTCCTGCTGCGCACGAACACATTCACCAGACCGGGGGAGGGAACCATGCGCAATGATAATATATACGAGCCAACTATATATAATGCAGTTATATTCCCTGCTCAAAAGATATATAATCTGCGCGCGCGCGAGTACTAAAAAAGCACATTCCATTACTCAACTGAATTGAATGGATGGTGCGGCGTAGCTGTGTGAGTGCTACGTCCGTGTGGTGTTTTTTCAAAGAGAGGAGGAGAGAGATGGAGAATGGATTGGCAAAACCTGCATATATAGGCAGATGTTGCAACGTTGCCAGGTCGTGCAGGCAGGCCAGGCAGCTGCCACATTCGGTCAGGCTTTCCTTCTCTCTCTCTCTCTCTTCTTCATCCTCCGTTCGTGAAAATGCGACGTTGCAGCTGTGTGCTGAGCGCTGAGTGTAGCATTAGACGGATACGGAATAGTATGAGGCAGTAGACAGCCTCCCCGAAGCCTCAAGCTGCTTCGCGGAAACGCAGTGTATGTGTGTGTGTGCACGCCAGCATCCATAAAACTTCAGTGCCGCGCGCCAGAGTGGGGGCATTATAACCCGAACTCCCAATATAACCCATCCGCTCTCGCATGCTTAACTATACCAAATAGGATATATAAGTATACTTTAGGCGAATGCGAAACGAGAGATAGAGAGAGGCCGTGAACATACTCTCAACGGGCACTTTAATGGGTTCTGGCGCTCGCTGATGATGAAAATAAATTTTTAACGAGCACTGGCGGGCTGAATTGGCATAAATTTAAATTACTATATTGCATTATAAATTGGTTCGATGCTCTTTGACCTCGATTCACCGAGCGAAGTGTAATACACGACCCGGATGGAAGAGCAAGTTGCGTTTGGCGCGGTACTCGAGTTATGCCAACCGAGTAACGTTGTTATTTCGTTATAAAAATATTTATAGAATTCAATAACGAAAATTAAATAATGAAATATTACTTCGGAACTTGATAAAATATTCCAGAAGCTTTTCCGCGATTAAATGGCGTTTATCGATCGTGCTCGCTAGTGGAAGACGAAGTTGGGGTTTGTGTAACCTAACCTATAAACCGCAAGGCAATCAGTGCCGCGACCGCCAATCATTTACGCCTCAAAAATGTCCAGCCGTCAAAATTTTCCTCGTCACGCAATAGCTGGGTGAAAGTAGGTCTGGCGTAACAAATTCAAGTTACACGTTAAATACAACTCCCGCAATTGCCTCAAAAACAATTTCGAATTCTCTTTTACTATGATTTTGTACAAATATTCGTTATTTCATTCGGAGCAAATGTTCTATTTGTCATGTCGCGGAATGACTGTTTGTAATGCATAAAAAACTCATTAATCATAAATTCACAAAATCATGCAGCAGCTGTTTAATTAGAGGAATTTCGTGAAATTCAGTCGAATACCAAATGACACTTTATTTGATTATAATTACTCTGCGCATATAGTTCCAGCGCAATGCAAAGCTTAATCAAATGTTGATTAAATGAGGCTCTTTTATAGTATAAATGAAATGAACAATATAACGTTTTTATAATTTGGAAAAAAATAAATATGCTAGTGAAACTTAAAAACACATTACGAGCGATATCTCGATTCCTGATAATTGAAAACCAAGATAAAGAAAGCGTATATATACGTTAGTTTTGTATGAAAATAACTTTTATTTCAAGTCCACATACGCGTGTCGTTCAGACAACAATTTTTTATCTCCAAAATCTACGTTTACCTGCGCTGACCTTTGCGCATTTCATCACGGCCACACGACATACACACGCACGCACGCTTTTGGTACACGAGGATATTTCCATAATCCATTTTTTTTTCTCCAGCGCTGACCGCTGAATTTCATCATGGCATCGTACGACATACACATTTGGTACAAAGTCATAACAATGATTAACAAGTTTTTAAAACAAAACAAAACTTGGCGATTTTATCCTTTCGAACTGTAAGTTTTTGAACTCTGAATCAATAAATCTTACACGGGTTTAAAAAATTAAAGAAAAAGCGACTTGACTGATGATACAGCACTTTTACATTTTTTTGCTTTACATTCAGAACTTGAAATATTTCAATGTTTTACAATAATCAATTCACGAATTGATTCATTCGCGTTATGCCTTTTTTTTCAAGATACGGTCTAAAAACCTGCGACTGTGTTTATTTTTTTTTCTTCACTTAAATTAGAGAGCAATAATGTTTCAAAGATATACATCGCTTGTAATTATTTTTCTTTAACATTCGTGACAAAGTATATTATCATTATTAGTGGTCAGTACAAGAAAAAAGTTTTCAATTCAAACTGTTGATAAAAGGAGTGTAAGGAAAAACATTTATCTTATCGGGCGAATTCGCGATAACGGCATAACATAAATTTACGAACTTTACAGCTCAACGTTGCTTTAACAACAGTTGGAAAATTGTGTCTTCTCCTTCTTCTAATAAAAAAATAAATAAATAAATTATCGACAAAGAACCAATTGCTTAAATGTTAATAGCGATAAGACTCGCCACAGGCATCCACACACTTATATACGCGGGGCATCGTACAAAAATATCACAATAAGCATCAAATACTAATTACTTCATCCACAAATCGGTCGGTACTAATTGATTCTCACAATGACAGTAATGTCACGTGACCCGTTATATCGTCGATTTTATCGTCGCCGCTGCCCTGTTGATTGGATTTTCTATTGGTCTGCTGCTGCTGGCTGTACAACAAGCCGACGCGTTGGTCGAGCTTTTTCTGGCTCGCCTCGTCGTCGTCGTCATCGTCCTGGAGCTGCTGTTGGATTTTTTGCAGGTCGTTCTTCCTCGGCGATTGTTCGGGACCATTGTTATTCTGCTGAACGGGCACGATTGGCGTTAGATTGCAGCGCAGCGACATCAACGACGACGTTTTTACTGCGGAAAGGCGGAGAGAGAGAGAGAGAGATGATGCTCAATGATATGCGGAATTTCAGCTGTTTACGAGCTATTTGCGGAATTTCAGCTATTTCAGGGTACACGATTATCACGATATATTTATATATACTCTAAATACGGTGTTTGCAACTGAAAAATGTTATTTTGTTGCCTCGAACTAACAGAAAGTTGCCGGAAAGGATCGATGGGTATTTTCGCTCAGCTGAGCCCTATTTTCGCTCGGTTTATAATTGATTTTTTATTCATAAAAAAATACTAAAATAATAAAATAAAATACCACTATTTTTAATATAAAAGAAAAATATTATAATTTAAGAATTATTCGGGACATTAGATTGAAAATACGTAATTTTTACCTCTTCACAACCAACTTATTATCGAAAGATAAATTTAATTCACGTCACATCTGTTTAAAAATAATAGAGTTTAAAGAATCATCTTCGAGATGCTTAATTCTGTGTATTATTTTCCGTTGTCGTCGAGCTCTTCATAAAAGAACGAATATCATTAGGTCGGTTTCTTGATGAATATTGATGCATCTGCAACTTATAGGATCGTGACGCGAATAAAATTAATCTCTCGATACCAAATGAATCTTGTTGAGGGTAAAATTGTATATATTCGATTTAAATACCCAAATAAAACTTATATTAAAATGCATATATTTAGATCGGCAGAATAAATGCGAAAAATAATAAAATAAAATAACATTTAGTTACTCCAACTTACTTTTAGTTTGCTACAACAAATTCAAAAACACCGTTTTTAAAGTAATATAAAACCACACTGAAATAAATGGATCCATCGCGCATCGAGAAAAATTGTTTCATATGTCATAAAAACTAAAACTCGATGCGACGTGAAATAAAATTGGCCAAGGAGAAGAAAATTTCTCGCCATAGCCGATCTCACTCCGCGTCACATGAATTTTGAGTTTTTAGACAGGTGAAACGAATTTTCGTCGATACAGAGTAGATGGAGTTTCTTCTCAGTAAGTAGTTTCTTTTTAAGTAAAAGTAGAAAAGAACATTTTCAAGCACATTTTTCGAGTTTCTCTACTGAAATACTTTTTTTTGTAAAGTAACTACTTACTAAGGAATGTTTTACAGAATGACAGTACTTTTAGATTTAATGAAACGCGTTTCAGTGATTTCTAATTCTTACCAGATCGGTATCGTCTTTAGAAAATACTCATTAAGAATTAATAGCCGTAAGAAACCATTACTCATCTTCATTAAGCGACTATCTTTTCTCGAGACGACGCCTCGCGATAGATAACAAAAATAAAACGCACCTAACGATCTCTCAGGCGCGTATATCATTATTTAGACATTAAACAGTCAATCGTAAGATCATTTACCAATCTTATCTCGAGCATTAGCGAGCCTGTACTGATGATGATGATGATGATGCGCGGGTCCACGACCAGCGTAACGGCTGCCGCTGCTCGTCGTCGTCGTCGAATCTCCGTTATGACCTGCGCTACGGCAAGAAGCGATGCTGCGAGCAACGCCTTGGCACGCCGAGAATCTCTTGGCAACGGCTGCAGCTGTGCTGCTGATCGGCCTCTGCAAGCTACCCTCGCTGGCAGCTCGATGCACTGCAGCCAAGGCTGCTGCTGCTGCTGCTGCTGCTGTGGTTTTATCATTATCGACCCACCGTGTCATCTCGTCCTCGTCCTTCTTCTCCTCGGTGTCGGTGGCAGCGACGGCGGAGCTCGTCGTCGGCAGCTTCAAAATCTTGATACGCTGCTGCCTCGTTGGGAGCTCGTTACCTTACGACCAGCGCACACAGAAAAAGGACACGACGCACAGCGAATGTTTGAAATGATGATTGTTCCCCTCGCGCGCGAGCCAACGAATTTCGATTGGCGCGTCTCGACGACAATGATCGGCGACGATGTATAATACCAACGATACGATATGCCAAAAATATTTACCTCTGGCGTCGCCGCTACTGCTGCCGCTGCGCTTCGCGTAATTGTTACTATTGTTACTGAAGGAGGATGACGAGGAGGTCGTCGCCCTCGCGTAGCTCGAGTACTGCTGCTGCTGCTGCTGATGCCGATGATGATCGCCTCCAGTAGCTTGGCCATCGGTCGTCGACGACGACACGGACGAGTTGTTGCTGCACAAGCTCAGCTTGTCGTCCTGATCGCTGCAGGCTCCGCCTCGTTGGGACGACGATCTCGTCGAGGCCTGACTGCGCCGATCGTGCTCGAGATTGATCATGCTCTCGCTGCCCTCGATCGCCTTGTACTGCTCCAGAGCTTGCTGCTCGAGCTCCTTTGTGTAATAATAATAATAATAATGATGATGATGATGGTGAATAATATAAAAGGATGTAAGGCGAGAATCGCCAGGCAGACAGAAAAGCTTTTATATGTATATAGCTCGACGTGATCCGCTTTGACGCGCCGAGAGACAAGAGAGATATTTCGATCCTTTGTACCCTCGAGCGGGGGTTCGATCGAGATATCGAGGATGCTGTATTATGTAAGATTTTGCGACAAGGGAGAGAGGGTGAGAGATAGAGGAGCTATTCAGGGTGACAGTACCAATACTCGACCAGTTGAGAAGCTACGTTTTAGCATCCTGATCATTTTCTTGTAAAATCATGATAAACTACATTATTCGTTTTGATAACAAAGGCTTGATTTTTGTAATTTTAAATTAAAAAATGACCGGTAATTGCTACTTTTTAATATGATATATATTTCAATTGTTTTATTCAAAAAACAATTTTTGTAACAAAAAGAATACACAATGAAATTGAATGACTTTGAATAAAAAGGGACCGACAATTCGGTACAGTCACACTCCCTCATAGCTCGCCCGCGTTTACCATGTAGAGCAGCAGCAAAACGCAACAAGCCGCTAAATAATATACCTGGTATCGAAGAGCGAGACACTCCTCGGACGTTCGATACTGCTCCATGGCCTGCTTCTCGAGCTCGTCGTATCGCCTCTCGAAACTGCCGTCGGACATGGTCTCGGACACCGGGATGACCTGCCGCGGCAAATTCTCCAAGACGTCCCGATAGAGCCGTTTTTTCGTCGTTATGGGTGGTTGCCTCTGCTGCTGAGGTTGCTGCTGCTGCTTTAAATTCGACTTTTTGTGATGATAAAAGCTCGAGGCCGTCGCGGCGATCTCGTCGTCCTCCTCGGTACTGATGCTGCAAGTGCTCAGGGCGGGCGTTTTTTCGATGTTCGACGAGGTAACAGCGGCAGCAGCAGCCGAGGAGCCCATGCTTATCGTAACGTACTCTCGTTCTCGTTTCTGAGCGAAAATTTGGCGCGTTAAACTCTCTCCCGCAACTTCGCGAGTTGCCTCGCGAGCTTGCAAAAAGCAATAATGCTCTCTCTCGGGGCATTGCTACGCCCGTGAGTCGTGTAAAGCCCTGCAAGCTCGCCCCAAACTACCGCTATTTTTTGCAAAAAGTTCGTATCCCACGGGCCTCGGAGGCTTACCAGCTGCTGCTGTCCTTTCTCGAGCCACTTGCTCGTACTCGCGACTCCCGCAGCCGCGGCACCGCTGTAGCTCGTTTTCGGGGTCACCGTTTGATGCTGCTGCAGCTTGGCCGTATCAACGAACGACTTCTTCGTGGCCTTGGTCTGACTGCGCCTCACCTTCATCGCGCTCTTGGTCAGCAGTATGAGATTGTTGTAATCGACGCCCTGATTCTTTCGCCGCTGATACTCCGAGGCGCTGGGCTTGTTGGCCCTCTGATAGACCGGGATCTGCGTGACGCCTCCTCCTGCGCCGCCGCTGGCAGCTTTTTGAGCTTGCGTCGATCGTTGAAGCGGCTGTTGTTGGCCGCTGGCTGCCTGCACCACCTGAGCCAGATCGGGTGTCCTGATGGGCCGATGGACGACCTGCGCCAAGGTGGGTGGCCTCGTCGCCTGCTGCTGTTGCTGTTGCTGCTGCTGCAGTTGAATCTGCGCCGCGGCCGAAGGACCCGCGCCAGTAGCCGCGACGTTTTGCGGAATCTGATGGTGCAGCTGTATCGAGGCGGCGGGCAGCAGACTCGCCCGGACCCAGGGCGAGGCAGGCACCGTCGGCCAGACGACGGCGTTGACGATCGGCGTCGCGACCATCGGTACGAGCGTGTTCTGTGTGCACGGAAAAATATGTCAGATAAACCCGTGCTCATTAGCATGCCAACGCGCACGTGCTTGACGTCTTTTCTTTCTCTGTCATTATCTAATTGCCGGATCGGCTCGCGTGCGCGCCCGAATAAACGGAATTATGAATTGAATTTTTTTTTGAGATAACGAAAGAGATCATTGACTTAATGAGACAACAGAAGCCGGAGCAGCAACAGCAACACTAAGAAAATCCCTCCTTCCGCACCCGAAACCCTTATCTCGTCGTTAGAGAGACGGTGGAAGAACGTTCTCTTTAAATACCGACAGACCAGCTAACGAAAAGCACATTCAGTGAAACACCTGCGTACTTGGTACATCGCCACTGTCGTAGTCTTTCTCGCCACCTGCTGCGCAGCCTTATAATGTATAAGCTCGTCCGAGTAGACGCTATCCATCTGCGGCTGCGGATAATATTGTAATTGCGCTTGTTGTTGCAGTTGTTGCAGTTGCTGTTGTTGTTGTTGATCCTTGACGCTCTGCTGCTCCGCATCCATCCAGTTGCTTGTCGTTGAGCTCTGCTGCTGTGGGAAGAATTCTGGCACGTCCACGCCCAGCGAGCAACCCAGCGACGACCCATTACCACCCGGCCGACTATCGACCACGTACGAGTAGGGGCAACGATTTCTGAAAAAGAAGCACGACCCAGAGCCAAAATCCTCTGATTAGGTTCGTTACATACACAACAATCTTGTAACACCCTTCCCTCCCTCCACCCACACACACACACACACATACGACCGTAGCGTAGCATCGTGGGCGATTTTTATCTTGTTAAACATGATTGTCGATTATTTTTTGCTGCGCGACTTTTTGACTAGAGTCGCAGAAAAATTGTCAGGGTGCCACGTTACATGGTTGATGATTACTAAGAAACCCCCGTAAAATAACCTCGGTTTTCTATTCTAATTGTGGTGTGGTGACAAAGAGCAAAAACCGTCGGTACCGCATATCTATAATACGTCACCAAGGTATTATATATATAGCTTTCTGGACGAGTTATAACGAAAAAAGTGTGGCCGGGATAGAATGGGCGCTGATTTTCAAAGCCACGCAGCAGGTATAATCCTCTCGGCCGTTGGGTCGCTCTCTCTCTCGCGAAAAAAATCACCCGAGAGAAACGACTACGACAGCGGCCCCGAAGATATACTCACGACATTCGCAGCCTCTCGCTCTGGAAGCTGCAATGGGTGTGCTGTATGTCCACGGGGGTGGCGACCACGGCGTTGCCATTATTATTGCAGCCGTCAGTGACGGCAGCGGCGCCGATGGTCGTCGTCCTGGTACTGCAGTTGCTGTTGTTGTTGCCGCTACTGCTACTGCTACTGATCGATAATTGATTGCAACTCGAGGTAGTCGTCGCGATGGGTTTTAGAAGAGATAGCTCGCGTTGTAGTTCCATCTGGCTCTGACGTAGATTTCGCGCTGTCAGATACTGTTGTTGTTGTTGCTGTTGCTGTAGATGATGATGGTGATGATGCTGGTGATGGTGGTGGTGCTGCTGCTGCTGTTGATGCAGCTGGTTGTTGTAGTCTTGATAGGGGTAAAAATTGGCCGACGCGGCCGAGCGATGATCGTGGCTGCTCGTTTTCCATAGATTTCTCACGGCTTCGTTGAAAATTCGGCCCTCGAGCTGGGCCTCGGACACGTTGTTCACGCTGAAGCGCAGCGCCGGGGGCAGATCGCACTCTAGATCCGAGAATGCAGCTTGCTGCTCTGTATAGTAAAAAGAGAAAGAGAGAGAGTGAGAAAGACAGCACGAGAGACGGGTAGAGAGAGGAAAAGTTTTATTTTTGATCTTGGGGAAAAGGTGTGCGTACGTATGTGTGAATGCACGCGGCTCGAGGTATAGTTGGACGCCGTTCAAAAGCAGCTAGTTTGACGAAAAAGTTTACACAAAAAGTTCACGAGCAAGAAAATTAACGAAAAAAGTTTTTCACCAAAAAAAAAAAAAAAGTAAATAAAAAAGTTCAACGTGTGCGAGTGTGCGTGGGAGTCAATTTATATTTACTCATTTCTTTTCGAGCACTTGTCGTCGCAGTAGTCTGTTCGCTCGTGGTGCTGTTTCGTGAATCCTTGTCCGACTTGTCACATTTCATTGGTCTGTAACAAAAAATCATACATACACAACGTTAATTTATTATTGTACACACGATTAGCAATCGGACGCAATCGTAGTATTTTTGCTGTATTGAAAATTGAAACACTGACAAGACCTACTTTTGGATCAAATAATTTTCTCGAGACTCGGTTACTGTTTACTCTTTGTTGAGAACAAGAAATAACTATTATCGAATTGTTTACATAAAGTTTATCATGTGGCAAATGCTTGTGAAGGTTAAGAATATATAGGAGGCGCGAGACCGATTTTCAATTGTTTCACCGCTAAAACCTGTTCTATTTATTTGTAATATTTAAGTAATATTTGTAATGTTTTAGTTAAGCAAGACTAAAGTATCGAATTTCTTTGTAAAAAATAACGTATTTTTATAATAGATTATTGAAAACGCGATTAGATCGACACGAATTATAGTACAGAAAAAAAAAATGAAAGTCACAGGAGAAAGATGGCATGTATCGAGTAATTATTGACTTTTGGAAAATATGACGTAAAACTAATAAAAAGCAGTTTATCCGAGCTGAGAAGATAAGATAACTATATACAACGATAGTATAGGTGTGAGCTCGAATTAGCATAACATGATTTACAATTAGTTTGATTTAATTATCCTCGACTGGGCATAAATCAAAATAACGATGATAAAAAAAAACGAACTGACGTTAGACGACTCTCTGTGTGTGCGCGTGTGACAGTTCCATGTTGACGTTTTGCCATCGTTTGAACAGCATACCGATAATAGTTCGATAATATCGATAAGAGTCCTCTGTATAATTAGCTGCAACGATCGAGAGTGTGAGCGAGTTTTTTCCTATCATTGATAAAACTCGGTCTAATACGTAACGAAGACCGTATAAGGCGAGAAAGACAGAGAGAGAGAGAGAGTACGAAAGAGTGAGCGACGTGCAGAGGGAGGAATCGATATCGATCTCGGACGACTCACGTCTCCAGTCGTTGCCTCCTTCGTCGATCGCTGCCGCTGCTGCTCATTCGATTGATCTTGGCGATGTAGTCGTCGATCTCGTCGAGCTGCCAAGACTCTTTCGCGACGTCGCCGTCGTCGTCATTCTTATCGATTTCCTCCTTGTAGCCGCTACCAACGACGACGACGACTCGATCATCATTGCCGTTGGTAACCGACTCGATTGGTGGAATCGGCCCGTTCTCAGAGTGATCCATTCGCCCAGTGAATCGTGGCACCTGCAGCTCCACCACCGACTCCTCCTGGTCGTTGCTGCTGTTTCGCTGCTCGCCTTCCGCAGCCTCCTCCTCCTCCGCCTCTTCGCCGCTGCCGCTGAGCCCACCTGTGTACTCGTAATCGCCGTAGATCGCCAATCTGGACTCCGGTATAACATCTCGCACTCGCCTCCTCTTCCTCGTCTGAATTGTGGACCCTCCACGACGACTCGATAAGGTGGTAATTTTTTCGTAACAAGCGTCTATCTTGCACGTCTGTAAGATGAGGAAGGATTCCGCGAAACGGAACGAAAACTTAAGGGTAAGTTTCAACACAATTTTTTTTTTTTAAATTTTTTTCATGATATTCTCATCGTACGATGTAGCGTCGATCGGTAAGGTAGATCGCGACAAGCGCGATTGAGGTTAAAGCAGTTTTATAATCTCGAGGGCAGTTAAAATACTTGAATAATTTTTCGAGCGATCGTGCAGTAGAACCCACGATTATGCCAAAAAGAAAGATGTTGAAAAATTGACTAGTCACCCTTATCCATAAACTACGATTAAGCCTGCGATACGTGTCTTCGCCGACGCCGCCGACGACGCGGTCATCGGACTCCCGGTCGTCGTCGCCGCCGCCGCCGTCGTCGTCGTCGTCGTCTGCCGCCGATTTTCTCGACCAAATCGTGTCTGCGATAAAGGCAATGTTTATCCGAGCGGCGCTCAAAATCTCGTCCGCCCAACAATATAACCGTCGCTGCTGATCCTGCTGACAGTTGTCGCTGTCATGCGCGAGCACGTCTCTTATCATTATATTCGCTCATGGTAACGGCGACGGGGGATCTCTTCTCGTTTATGAATCACGGACGTACGGACACATATTTGTTTTTGTTTTTTTTTTTTCTTTTTCGGCGCTTTATTTTTTCTAATTATCGGAGCTGCGACGATGTTTGCGGGGACGATGATTAAACAAGAGCTCTATGGATCGGCTGTATCGACGATAAGATTAATGTAACGATACGTCGAGCGAAGAAAGCAGAAACTTCTTTTTTAACCAGGCGCGCGTGTTTATTTGTTTATTGGCGGATTTGAGAAGTCGAGAAAAAGTGACAGGAACAAGAAAAGTCGATTCACTTTCTTTGACATTAATGGCTAGCTTCATTAATATACATGAGTGGAATACGTAGAAAGACATTGTCAATTAAATGACACTGACTATATAGTTGATCTTTTAATGGTATAGCTGGAAATGGAGATTTCAATTATGCATACTGTTGAATTCAGTAGGCTTAATACAATCAATATTTTACATATAATTTATAACATTTAAAATCTACTGTCACAATGGAAATAGATGGATTTTCATTTTCTGAAATTAATATGATTTATTGTCACTGATGCATCAATAGTAATCGATAGAAATCAGAAAATTTTTAAATTTGAGATATAAAACACAATAGAAGTTAAAATGAATTTAGTAAATTTGAGAAACATCTCTAATACTGGCATATTTTTTCTTTTTAAACTAAATATTGAAATATCTTGACATACTAAACGTCACATTACTACTTTTCTAAACTAGAAATTTATTGTTAGCCTCATTTATGAACTTGATGTATGGTCTCAAGTGATATTAAACTTTATAATTTTTTAGATCAATACTGATTATGCAACATGTATGTTAGTATTTTTATTTGCATCTCAGTTCAAGAGCAAGTTTTAAGGTTTTCTCTGTATCAATAAATCTTAGATTCCAAATTAGATTTTTTCAAATTTATTTTTATCATATTGTATTACAGGACAGCAATTTTAATTTTTATTATAGAACATTTTTATTTCAGCTTATTTTTAATTTTGAATGTATTTTTTTATGTATATAATTTTTAAACATCTGCATCTTAAAACAGATATTTTACCCTCTATTATATGTCTAAAACAAAGATATCGCTCATAATGAAATCTCTAGAACTTCATTCAATAAAAATGTATGTTTTTTATTGTTTGACTCCAGATTAGTTTAGAACTAAGCATAGAAACGATTATACAAATAAAGCAATACTTTCAAGTAGATCAATAAAATAATTTCATTCCATAAGCTGTCACTGTGGTATTATTCGACATTGTTAGTTCTTATTTCAAAAACGTATGATAGTATAAAAATAAATTGCATAATCTCAGATTTATGGCTCATTTATGTTACTTGGAGAGTAAATATTAATATTTGATATCTATTAATATTTAGTCACAATTTATTTGAATGAATATTGCTTTAAATCATCTTTCATAAAAAAAAGTCACACTAGAGTCACAGATATAGCTTTCAGAATGTTATTTACTGCATTAATTATTAATGGCATAAGTAATAATTTAATACAAAATATTATCTAACAAAATATTTGTGGAATTCTTAATAAATAAGCTTTGTCAATTAAGATAATTGAAAATTATTGAGCCAAAAAAACTTTTTTGTCAGCAAAAGCATTACTGTTTAATTCACGTTATTTTTAAGTCCAAAAAATTGGATATCCATAAAATTAATATTTTCTAAACTTTGTTTTACTTTTAATTATTTGTATTTAAAGAAAATTACCAGATTGACTTGTCACTAACAGTAATTATGATGTGAAATTTCGGTCACTTTAAAAAAAGTTCTTAATTATGAATTTAAAAAAAAGATTGTTGATCATTGAATTAGTAACACCTATTCATTTATCACCTCGTAATTGTATCTTTTCTATTCAATTATTTTTAAATTTGTTTTTCATGGTCTATATTTATACATTATTACTTCATAAAATCGTCCCTAACAAAATTATGCTTATTCTATAATGTCGCGCAAATATGTCGAAACATATGTGCAAAGTGTAGGATTTCTTTTAAAATATTTTCAAACTACACGTGCTAATAAAATAATTTTTCTATTATTTTTGAAGACACCATCATTGAATGCAACACGTCCAAAGGAAGCTGCAGCTGCGATGTCTACTTCTACTCAAAGAGGTAAGTAATATATTTTTTCTAAAAAATTCGCTTGTAATTTTACGCGAGACTCTTATCTAACAATTTTTTATCGCTTCAATAATTTATGTATTAGAGGTATAAACAATTGTATATGTACATAGTACAAGTCGGGACTTTCATTACCTCCGTTCTTTGCTTTACTTATACACCGTCAATTATGTTTTCCACATTAGAGAAAAAATTTGCTTACGCTCGCACTCATGAATATTGTATCGATTTGTCAAGCATAGATAAAAATTGAAATTACACGTCATCAACTCGGATTACGAGGGAAAAATTAAAATTCTAAAAAATTCGTAGCGGTTACTCGTTGCATCAAAGAAGGTGAAAGTTCTAACACAGTCAACCATGTGGCCGAATAAAAACATGGCACGAGGCGCCTTCAATTTGATACTTGAATCGTTTTTATGTTCAAAATCAGAAAATTTTCAAGTAGTCCTGTAATATTAGTGCAGCTTCTGTCTCGCGGAACGCTGGAATTTCCTATATTATTTATAAACACGTTAAAACACTGATGGATAGGACAGAATGAACGTTAATTTATCGTTTATCGTTTTGTTTTTCTTCATTTTCTTTCTGCTTAGTTATAATTGTAATTACTATTGGCAACGAAAGATAATATTTTCTGGGTTCGAGGTATAAAAAAATTATCTGTATCTCAGGCTTAAGAAAATTTGTAAGAGTTTCGAATGCTCTCGGAAATTTCTTAAAATGACACGTTTTCTCGCTATTATACTCTCAAAAGTGGGCCCAGCTAGAATAAAGACCCAACGATTTAAATTTTTTTTTAAGTCTACTGCGCATGAGATATAAGTTTCAGTCATTTTATATTTTTAATGAACTAGTGAGACGCTTAGTATTTTTAAAAAAATTTTTCTAAAGATGAATTTACTAAATAAATTACAATGCGCATGGATATGACGAATTTTCATCATCTTGGATTGAAAATTCATTTTGTCTCTTAATAATTTCAAATTTCACGCCGATTTGAATTCAAATCCTACACGTTATCAGTGTCGCCATCTTAATTACTTGCTTTTCCGTCCTCTTGTGAACAAAACAGCAGTTTTTGTTTGTTGTTAATTTTTTTACAATTGACTTCGAGTAACCACTTGGTTAAAATGTATTTCAGTGTTACAAGGCATGTGCCTAAAATACATGATGTTTCTGTATTTGTGCTTCTCTCATAAAGTATATGTGCCAGAAATTAAACTCTTTTATTATGTTATTTGTCTGCTATAGGTTACAATTAGCCACCAATCCCGTAACGTATATGTATGTCATATGTCATACGTCATTACTTTTCGTTTACAAATAAAAATAAAGAATAATAAATAATAAATAATAAACACGCGTTGATCTGCTAACATGTTCAAAAAAAAAGAAATGTATAAATTAACATAGAATAACTGATTTGTTCAGACAAATAAAAATGTCGTCCTTCAATATGTTATTTTGAATTTTTTAACTTTTTTACTATATAACTATCAATGATTTTTTTAAAGCACAGTAGTAATTTTTTTATTTAACATCAAGTGAAAAAAAAACTTTACACTCACTCACGATATTAAAAACTAATTAATTGAACAGTAGAGAACAAAATTGTAAACTTATGTGCATCAGATGAAAATTTTTTATGTTTTATTTTAATTAGATAATTTTTTCTAGTGACTAAAGTGAAGCGTACACCTATCAGTATGTGGAAGAGCAAATTACCATGGGGTGTTCTATTTTTGCAAAAATGCACTCCTATGCGAGTTTCGCAACGGAAAGGACTTTTCACATGGATGACTTATATTTTGACCTATTGCATTTATGCTACTTATCACATGACAAGAAAGGCTTGGTCTGTTTCAAAATTAGCTTTGCACCGGAATTGTTCAGGATTAATTCCACCTCCAGGAGTTGATCCGTCTGATGATAAGTGGTGCCAATGGGCACCTTTTGGTAAGCATTGTTTAGAAATTAAAAAAATGTCGTTTTAATAATTAAGATTCCATTAAGTTTTTCAATTTTTTTACAGATACAGCAGATGGAGATCAAAAATTGGGGTACATAGATACATCTTTCTTAGGCTCCTACACAATAGGAATGTTTGTCAGGTAAAATGTTAAAAACAGTTGTTATATTATTATAATTTATTGATTGTAATTGATATAACTGTAGATGTTAATTAATGATATTGAATGGTGGACTTTTATTTTCAGTGGTGCTATAGCAGAGCGTATGAATTTGCGCATCTTTATCACCATAGGCATGGCAGGGACAGTACTATTTTGCATTGGCATGGGTGAGGCATACGTATATGCTATACATAATATGGAGTATTTTATCTTCGTGATGGTATTGAAATATTATATTTTGTTCTAACAATATATTTTAATTTTGTTACATGAAATTGCTTACATGATACATTTTTTTAGATGATTTTTGGAGCTTTTCAAACTAGTGGTTGGCCTGCATGCGTTACCATTATGAGCCACTGGATGAATAAAAATCGACTAGGTCTTGGATATGGTACTTGGAATACACATACATCTGTGGGAAATATCCTGGGTGGTATCATTCCAGGAAATTATGTAGAGTCAGACTGGTCCAAGTGCTTCATAGTTCCTGCTTATATAATGAGTTTTGTATCAGTGATAGCTTATCTGTTCTTAATACCAAATCCTGCAGACTTAGAAGATGCAGATCTGATAGAAAAGATCTGGATCTTTAGAAATTCCAATGAATTTTCGAGTGAACTTGTGTTGAACAATGACGTCGAAGTTGTACAGGACTGTGGAAGTAATGAGGCTAGGATTTATGATTCCCAGACAATCGAAAATGATGCTATTATTTCCATCAATGATACACTTGAAAACCCTAGAAATTCTAACCATGATGAAGCTATAAACTTTTGGAAAGCAGTATGCCTTCCTGGTGTGTTAGAATATTCGTTGGCACTTCTCTTTGCCAAAGCTGTGAGCTATGTTTTCCTCTTTTGGTTAACAAGTTACCTCGCAAACAATAGTAAGTAATTTAATCATTATTTTTTCAACTTTTAACAGCAATTTTCTTAAAGCTTTTTGATTTATTTCTAGCAAAGTTTTCCGCTGCAGACTCCTCATACCTGTCAACTGCTTTTGATATTGGTGGGGCCATTGGGTCACCCCTAATTGGATACTTAAGCGATGTCTGCGGCAAAGCCAGTGCATGCCTTTGTGTCTTTATGCTCGCATTAGCTTGTCCTTTAGTACGTTATCGAATTTATTGTTTTATTCTATATAACTTTATACCTTTTTATACAAGATTAACATTAGTAATATCTTTTTTTTTGTTCAGCTTTTCCTCTATAACTTATATTGTCCAGAAGATTTTTACGCAAACGCAGCTTTTTTGAACGTTCTCGGCATACTGGCAAATTCTCCGTACTCTCTTATCACTACTTCAGTCTGTGCAGTCCTTGGTTCTCAACCAATCTTAGGATCAAATACTAAAGCCATGGCAACCGTCACAGCAATCATTGATGGGACTGGCAGCGTTGGAGCAACTATAGGTCCATTTGCTGCAAGCTGGGTATCCAGTTACGGTTGGAATAAAGTATTCTACCTATTAATTGTAGCAGAAGCAGCTGCAATATTGGTAAGTAATTGTACCTTGTCTAATGATTTTAAATCTCCATGTATTTAAATTTATATTTAACCTTTTTTTTGAAATTTTTCATAGTCGCTCTCAAGACAAGTTGTAAAAGAAATCAAGGATTTCAGGATATTCTCATCTGGAAGGCCACAAAATCTTGAAGAAGGGCTGAATGGTTCTTCGCAAAGTGCTGAACGAATTGGCGAGCAATAGGCGACTGACTGATCACGGATGCAAAATAATAATTAAGTCTTTATTTGCATTAACGTCCCAACCATGACAAAATATTGTCCAATAACGCCAAATATAATTGAGCGAACTGGGCAGACTTCTTTACCCAAGTAAAACAGTATCAATTTAAAATTTATTTTTCCACCAATTTAACTTAAAATTATTTTTAAATTCTCTTTACATTTCATTAACATTTTATTATTTCATTATGGCCACCAAAGATTCAAAATTTTTCAAAGACACTGAATTTAATTGTTCATACTTTTATTTTAATTGTTTTTCACCCATTTTCATAAAATGTAAATAATTGTAAGAAAATGAAAACATTTTGTAAATAGTTACAACAAGTTTTAGATATCCTTTGATTTACATATGTTGACGTTTATTGTGTAAATGAAAATCTGTATCTAAAGTTTTGTAGAACTTCATATAGACTATCAATATTAGTGCGTTTAATGTACCGTTTTTCTTTTGTAACCGTTTTAAACGGTACTTACTCCATGTAAATAACTTAATATAACAAAATGAAATCTCATATTTTTATAAAAATATTTATACAATTTGTAACTTTACTTTTAATATCAATGTGTATTTTTATAATTTGTTAATTACTCAACAAATTTTTATTACATGTTGACAAGTACAGATAATTTATTGAAAATAAAATATTTATTTAAAAATAATGCTAAATTATTGTACGCTCAGTATTCGACTCCATTGTTTAAATTTTTTTTTATTAAAAATCATTATTATTTACAATTACAAAAATTTTGTCAAGAGTGACTACTATAAAATGAATAGTACTATAATAAGGACTAATGAATTCAATTAGTTTGGATTTAAACTAAATTTGAAAACACGAGATGAATACTGCATGGTTGACATTTCATTTTAGTGAGAGGTACCAAAACACTTGGACTTTCAATTATGGCAATCATCAGCTTGATTCAACTCATAGTTAGTTAGGAAAGTATAATTCAATTTGGCGGTGGTTCGGTGCAGTGTTATGCTCTTGATTTTAATCAATAAAACTCTATCTATCTATCTTGATGAATTTGGCCAATAGGCCCCTCTTACATTTGATGCTGCAAATTTTTCAGTGATAAGCAACTTCTGAATTATTATATAATTATCTATACTGTAAAGAGTCAATAATACAAATAATTTATTTAGTTCACTATAAACAAACAATAACTTCCTATCTTAACAAATAATGGAAAGAAAAAACAAAATTCAAGAGAAACACAAGACAAGTTGATAAACTGGATTGTGTATGTCTCTAATAAAGCATAACTTTGCAATAGTTTTATGGTGTTATATATAAATATTTATTTATCCTCAATACTTATAATTAATTTAAATGATCTAAATCATTATGGACTTCCAGCTGGATAAAGGTAAGTAATGGAATCAGCTAATTCACCCCAATGTGTTCGTTGAGTTTGAAATACTACGATCCACGAAATGTATAATGATGCTGATAATATAGCCCCAATGCCAGAGAAAATTACATCTGAAATAAAATAACAAGTCACATAACAAAACTTAATTAATTAAAATAAAAAAAATGTTATTGAGATCGCGATGAAAATATTAACCAACTATTAATAGAGTGAAACTACATAAGATCAACATAAATTTCAATAATTTTTTATAGTTTGTGAAAATTGAATTTTCTATTAATATAGATGAGGAAAATATAAGTTTTTATTATAGTTTAAACATAATGATCAAAATGATATCTTACATTTTTTTATAAGTTTTTGTTCTTCATACGCAGGCACAATAAATGCTTGTTTAAAAAACCAAATGGCGTTCACTGCCCATAGAAATGGTAGCAAAGCAAAACCAGCTGTAAAGGAAGAACAATAATAAGAATTAGTCATAAGTTAGTCATAAACTTTATTGAAAACTAAACAGGATTTTTAACCTCACATTATTTATTCAATAAATCATAAAACTGCTTACCGTAAAAGTACCACTTGCAAAGATACAATTTTCTCTCGTTTGGTAACTTAGTTAGGTCCATTTTGTACGCTATTCAAACGAATAAAGATCTACTATCAACAAAATATGACAGACTTCAAACATGTGTAAGTGTACTGTGTATGCATATATAAACTTGCACTCTAATATCAAGTGGTGGTGGGCCGTAAGTAAGTTGCCGTCAAAATCGCACGTATTGCCATCTGGTGAAATCGAATATGGAATGACTGTACATTCACCGTCTGCTATATTTCGCGCAGACTTTCGCAGACGAACGAAAAATTAAGTGGAAAATTACTCAATCCGAATCCTAGAAATTGGTGGAAAAGCGGCCCAGTGGCCTTGTACTCGCAGGTCAATTCGGATCATTCTGAACTGTGAAAATGTTCGTTGTATTGCGAGGTGGTATCGCATCGAAGTTCGCTTCGACTGTCGTGTCCAAGGAGTTATGTAAGGTTAGCATGTCAACGACAATAACACAAATATATATTTTTAAATATTTCCATGCATAATATTTTGGCTCATGCGATTGGAGAGTTTTATTATTCACTCAATAAACCCGTTGAATGTAAATGATTTATCTGGATTATTTTAAGTTAAAGTTTATTGTTTGACTGACCATCACAAATTAGGGTATTTATTATTGAATTATGTTTTTAGATTCTTCCGCAGAAGAATGTCATTAAGATCCAGGCAGCTGGACTCACTAGAGCTGCTTTCAGAGATGAAAATGAAGTTCCACTAATCAAGCCATTTCCATATCATGAAAAGCCATACAGTGTAATGAATATGCTGTTGGACACTCATAAATGCAGAGTACACAAGCACTCTAAGATCATTGTAATTGATGGCCCACCTGCATCAGGAAAAAATGAACTAGCTAAACAACTGGCCAAAGAATTTGACTTTCTTTACTTACCACAACCCAATTTCGATGATTTACTAGTTACGCATTGGGGTTTTGATGCACGTACATTAGATCATAAACTGCCTAAAAGTGTGCAGTCTTGGGATATTGAGAGATTTTTGCAAAATCCCACAGATATTAATACAGCTGCTATGCAGAACTACATGCTGATGATGAGACAAGACAGGTGGATGTGGGCATTGGGACATCTATTTTGTACAGGACAAGGGGTAGTTACTGTGAGATCACCATGGACTGATCAAGTTTTTGCCAAAGCAATGGCTCAAAACAAATTCATTTCTGCTGGTGCTTTAGAGGCACACACAGATTTATGTTTAGCCTCTCTGCACTTTTATTTAAAACCTCATTTAATTATTTATTTAGATGTTCCAGTTGAAAAAACTCTTGTAAGTATATAAGTGTTTTTCACTACTAGTGAGTTTTTTTAGCAAAAATGTCTGCATGCTTATCTTAACTAAAAATTTATTTTAATTGCAGCAAAACATTAAAAATCGTGGACGAAAAGAAGAACAAAATTCTCCAGTTATTACCGAAAAATATTTGTCGAACCTAGAGGAAAATTATAAAAGAGATTATTTGAGTAAAATTAGTGAACACAGTTTAATGCTAATTTATGATTGGAGTCAGGGAGGAGATACAGAAGTTGTAGTTGAAGACATCGAAAATTTAAATTTTGATGATTATGATGAGCTTGATGTTAAATTACAAGATTGGAGGTTTCCTGGTGGGTGGATTTGGAAAGTGCACACAAAACATTATACTTATGATCGTGACCAATACCTTCATAATATGGACATCATGAGAACAGATGTACCAGAAATATGTGCTTCTGGAAACGATATAGAAGTTTGGGATGATGTCTGGGCAGAAGTAAGAAAATAATTTTCATTGCAGTAAAAAATTTTTTAATACTATTTCTCATATGATTATCTCATATCAATATTTATTTAAGGTCAAGGACTCTGAATATGATCCTAAGTTCCACCCCCATAAAGGTGATTCCATCAAAGATATCATGATGAGAACAAGACCATACCTTCGCCCTGATCATGTAACTCCTTTAATGAAGAAATATTATGAAAGAAAAGCACGTCTTGATGGTAAAAAATAAATAAATATGAAAATTTTAAATATTATTCCATTCAATGGAACTATTTGTAAATGAAAAATGTACACAATAAATAAGGTAGAAAAATATACTACTAAATAAATATCATTTTATAATCATCAAAATTTTAATTTTTTCAATACAGTATGAATTCAAGTGAAAGGTGATTTTAAAAATTAACCAGATTGTCAAGAAAATTTTTCTTTTTTACATGAACTTGAATTGAATTGATTAACATACATTTTAAAACATTCGAAGCTTAAAATAATTTGTTGACTTTTCAGTTTCCTTTAATTAACTTATCAAAGTACTTGTAAATACTTTAAAAAATGTCAGTAGCTTTTCCTTTATTCATTATAAAATAAATCTTTTTATAAAGTTTATTCGAGAAAATTCTGAAACTATGACAATTAATTACAGATCAAATACTAATTTTTATACTTTACATTGAAAGAATATACATCTTATAGTTGCTTCAATAGATAAAGGAATTAAATAACAACTATTTAAATACTTGCTATTTAATTTAAAGAAAAAATATTTACATGACAAATGATTATACCCATTATACACAGAGCTAATACAAATTTTTAATTATTAAAACTCTATATGGATTAATCTTATTTCAAAGTTTTATAAGCCCTGCAATGTGAGTAGGATTACAGTAATCATTTAGAATTTATTAACAACAAAGCCCCTCAATATTCTAACTGGATGCCAGATCCTACTTTAAATAAACTACTTTAGACTAACTAGTTCGTACCTGTCTGTTAAAATACAAAAATCTTAAATTCTGTTTGATGAATATAATTCAATTACAATGAATGTGTCTTTAAAACAAAAATTTAAAACTGTATTTTTGTAATAGAATTGAATCTTGAATGCGTGATTCCTATTATCAATGCAGTTTAAATTAATTTACCTACATCATTCACTCATTTCTTTTCATACTTTGTATCAATCTAATACTTAAAACTGTTAATGATCATTTTTACTAAATATTTAAATCTTCAGGCAGTGAACCACTTAAATCTGACACCACAATTATATTGGAGCAACATTTAAATTTTTATGCATAAAATTTCAACATGCCTCATTGATAATATTTACAGATCCAAGTATATAGGTCTTATAAGATAATATAGACATGTCTCCAAGTAAAGAGTAAAACACTTTCAAAAATTGTAGAATGGTCATCAAAATTTATAATTATAAATGTTTACAGCACAGCTGTATTATCGCTTCATGGGGCAAGGCTACAGCAAGAATTTGTCTTCCTAGCAGTCTTGTAAAAGGCTTTAGATTGTATACTAAGGCCCTCAGACTTTGATACCAAATCATCTAATTTTTCTCCTCGCTCTAATACTGCTTCCAGTGTATTATGCTAAAACAAAATTTGTAAAGAGATTTAAATACTGAGATAATTTAATGGCAAAAATATTTTTCAAAAAATCATTTTTGGATACTTACGAGAATAATTTTAGTTTCATCTAAATCTTCTTGCATTTTAGTCAATGCATCAGCTTCCCTAGGATTTTGATATTTTGATAAGTAAACATGAGCTTGTTGAAAATCCACAGTAGATTCTTTCAAAGATGACCAGAGATGAGGTGGATATTTGGAAGTAAATTCATCCAGAACTTGAGTAATCAAGGTATGAGATACTCTATTAGGATATTCATGATCTGATATAAGAACACCTGCCAAACCATCTCCTCTCACATATACATGACACATATACTCTGTAAATATAAAATAATTAGTATACAAGAGGAGGAACAAGAATATATAAAAAATATGATAAAATATTGACTTGTACCTCCTTCTTTAACACTTTGTCTTGCAGCTATTTGAGTTCTTTCCGTAATTGTTTTACTGACAAATGTCATGAATTCCCTAACGCTGTTTCGTTGAAAGTAAGAAAAAGAATCCACCTCGTAAGCTGACTTGAGAGCAGTTGCTGCATTGGGTCCTTTATGAAGGATTGTTAAGGCATAAAGCTTCACCATCTTGACTGCAAACGAATTGAAAATCGCATTTTAGTAAACAGTAACTCGCATTTTTTTTAATAAACAACTTTACAACGAGCATTTAATGATCATACAAGTTCTACAACGATCTGCTGTCAAAAAATTGGAAAGAAAAAGCCAAATTGTGGAAAACTCGATTGTCACGATAACGCACCTGTGCTGCAATTAACGGAGTAAAAACTCAATCACGACACTCCTCAAAAGCACCGTATACGCGGCAAATTGCGATATCTCGAGTCGCGACTCGTGCGTGCGTATATATGTACTGTGCCTCCAGAAATAATCAACTGGAGCTTGATCTGATATATAACATGTATGTGTATATCGACTGCTGACGATGGTGAGTCACGTCGACGATATATTAGATCGTATTAACGTAGTTATATGCCATGAACAGCGACATATGCGTGGGGACAGTGCACGTCAACTGCTGTATATATACGTTTTATACGTGTGTGAGGGACTGTTGAGCTGCTCGCTTTGATTACTTTCGCGAAGTGTGTGTATGTGTGCTTTCGCGTTTACGTATATATATTATATATATACGAGTACGATACGAGTGACAACGGAGTACGTCTGCGACTACATCGATAATAAACGGCAAATCCACCAATGACTGCATTCTGTATTATTCCGATGCTGCGATCTGTAAGCGTAGCGCCATTTTATCTTGGAGGCGCATGCGTCAGAGAGCTTCAAACAATTTGAAATATAAACAAATAAAAAGTACCACTAGGCAGTAGGCAGTCCTAGTTGACATTGAACTTCTGCTCGAGCAGAACTAAACTAAATGTTGGAGCATGAATTGGAATCGTGAGCTTCTTTAGTTACGTTTAAAAATTAAGAGTCGTAGTGAGATGATTGGATAAAAACTTCAGTGATTTTTATTTTCATTAAACTAGCATTAAAAATCTGCCTAAGGTATAATTCATTAACATAGGTATACTCCGTACGTGTAATATATGTAAAACGGTTACTTTTACATCGAACTCGTAGGTTATTATTTTCTCAGATATCTCGTTAATGATGAATCTTGAATTTCAATAAATTTTAATATAATGTTATTGAAAGCTTTAGGCTTGAAAAAATGCAACTTGAGTGAGGTTGTATAATTTTTTTGATTATTTATTCAAATAATAATCCAAATATTTATAAAAAACATAACTGCTTTACTTGGTGCAAGTAGCTCAGATCTTCATAATACAACCTTTTTTGAAAAAAAATGTTGAATTGTATCTACGAAATTGATTCAAACTATTTTCCATTTATTTATGCTTCTTCTTTATTTTCATAATGAGAGATGAATCGAGCTGATGGATCTGTTACTCCCTTGACCCATTTTGGCATCCAGAAGTAAGGGATGAGGTTCTCAGCATGTCCACCATAATGCTTTTCAAATACTGATCTGTTGGCCCAAATTATTGTGTCATGTATTGAACAGCATTAAACAGAATTAAACTACAAAACTTACCTGTAATAATAAGCTTCTTTAGTTTTTGGCGTACAGTGAGGATAGGTTTCAGCAGCTTTTTCTAAATCCTCGTCATTGACTCTTTCTTGTACAATATCATTAATGATATCAAACAGAGATTTTTTCACTGATGTCACACCATCACTGAACGCTTCTTTAGCCCTCCACAAAATATTTGATGGCAATAGACTCTTATCATCAAATGATGATCGAAGCAAATGCTTTTCAACACCATCTAAAAGAAAGAAATAAAAATCATTAGAGACTACTAGAAAGTGAATTTAGTTATATGAAGCAAACTTGTTTATCTTTTTATAAAAAAAGTAAATTTAAAAAAAGTCATAAATAATAATTTGTTAAAGACTTACTTTGTGGTTGTCTTGTAGCAGCTTCAAGGGAAAGATAATAGTTAGTGAATTGCAAGTCTAAGAATGGTACTCTTAATTCTAAGCTAAAAGCACTGGTTGTCCTGTCTGCTCGAAGACCATCATACAAATAAATGTCTTTTAACAATCTTATTGATTCGTTATGAGCATCATATGCGCTTGGAGCATCTCTAAAATAGATGTAGCCTTGAGATAATTCATCTGCTCCTTCGCCACTGAAAATTACAGTAGTTTCTGTGTTTTTCTTAATATATCTTGCCAACAAGTACATTCTGTAAAATAAAATGATTAGATTATTATTCATGAATTGTTGAATGAAAAATAAAAATTTATAAAAATGTATACCCAATAGAAGCTCTGATTGTTGTTATATCAAATGTTTCAAGATGGTATATGACATCATCAAGTACATCTGAAATGTCCTTTTGAGTTATAATAACTTCATGATGTTCAGTTCCTATGTGATCGGCTACCTGAATTAAAAGATTAAAAAAATTTCAATGTAGAATTTAAAACAGATTTTATGATAAAAGTTGTGGGAGATATTTATGTATAAAATGTACCTGTCTAGCTGCTAATATATCGGGACTGCCTTCCATACCAATAGAAAAGCTTTGAATTTTGTAAGGCAGGTTGTGTTCCTTAGCAAGTTTAACAAGAAGAGCAGAAACTAAACTTGAATCCAAACCACCTGACAACAAACATCCTATTCTTCTTTCAGCCATCAAACGTTTTTCAACAGCAGCCGTGAATAGTTTTTTAATATTTTCCTGAACATTGTCAGAACTCAATTCTAAATAAAATGATCCAAATTATTAGATTATATTAATATTAAGGAAATAATTAAAATTTGGATAAGTACCAGCCCATGGAAGGAAAGGTTTGAAAGTTGGCTTTAGTCCAGGTTCATGGTAACGATGTCTTCTCACAAATTTAACACGTCCATTTTCCAACACATCATACTCTTCATATGTGCCAGGGGGGAATGGTTCCATTTTATGTTCACCCTTCAGCATGTTGGAGATCTTAACGATAGCCTAAATGATTGAAAGAGATTATAAATTAAGAAAGCCATTGATAGAAGAAAGATTTCAAAAGCATTATCTAAAATTTTTTTACTTTGCTCTCAGAAGCAACAGCCAAGTGTCCATCTTCAGTATACACTCTGAACAAAGGTCTCACTCCATAGGGATCTCTTCCAAGCAAGATTTTTTTCTTTTCAGCATCCAGTAAACAAAAGCCAAAAACTCCATCCAAATTCTTACATACACCATCTGCTCCTTCAGTAGCATAAAGATGCATGAGTGCTTCAACATCACATTTGGTGTAGTATTCAAATCCATGGGTTTCCTTGAGCTAGAAATAATCGATTTAACGGTCAATAAATTTTATTTCGTCGAAAATGCGGTAAAAAATTCATACGCGACAATCAATTCATCAAGAAATCAGCTAGATTCGAATTGTCATTACTTACTGTCTGATAATTGTAGATCTCTCCGTTGCAGAGCAGATACAGCAATGGGTACTTGTACACCCTTATGGGCTGCATTCCGCACAGACTGTCAACGATCGACAATCGGTGGAAGCCCAAGAAGGAGTTCTGCGAAGATGCAAAAAGTTAAATGACATGCCGAACAATCGTGAAAAATCAATGAAAAAAAAAGATATGAAAAATGATCCACGAGTTTCTGTCCGGCCGTTATCTTACCGGTATGCGGCTGTCGTGCTCGATTTTGTATGCGTCGGGTCCGCGATGCGATATCTTGCTGAAGTTGTCGCAAACGCAGGTAAGGGAATCGGTATCAAAACCGAACAGGGCCCACAAACCGCACATTTTTCTGAGACTTTTTGCGATACGAAAAAAGAGCCAAGGAGATTTGAAACTTTTTTTTTCAGCAGCTGTTCGACCAACTGCTTCGACCAAACGATGTGTGTGTGTACCACCGCTGCTACTGCTGCTGCTACTGCCGCTTCTGTAAGCTGTAATGTATAAGTTTAAGCTGATGACGAAACCGCGACGGCGAGTTGCGCGTTTTGCCGGAACCACGTGTACAATTAGTACATACATATACAACAGCTGCTGCTGCTGCCCGGGGTAAATTTAGAAAATCTTCGTGCGCTCGCGCAGTTTTTTTTTTTTTTTTTTTGCTATTAAGCGGCTCGCGATCGCATCGATCGACACAACTGTAATATTTTATCGTGATAAGTCAGGAAATCGAGCGCCCGGTGCGCGACAATTCACGCGTTTTAACGACTGATCATTTAAAACTCCCACGTAAAAAATCGAGCTCTTTGTTTCAATTTGGAAAAGTCGTTCGATGATAACATTAATTATTAAAGTGTAATTTGTTTTTTATTAAAAGTACTTCAATGAATTAATTGGCAATTAAACTATAGTTTTCGATTCATCATTCAATTTAAAGTACCCTTTATGAACCATAGAAAAGCAAGGAATTTCATCCAATTTTAAAGCTTTTGAATAAGATAAGATACTTATTTCGAAGAGAGTAAAACCAATTAAAATTTGTACATTTAAAAATTAATTTTCCATTATAAAAAAAATATAGTGGGCGCAACTAAATCATATACGAAATAAATTAAAAAAATTCATTATTAAAATAAAATTATCCTATTATACAATTTTTCATCATGCTGCATGTCCGATAGATGGTTTGAGAATTTTATAGACTATTTTTCGGTGTCAGCTCAAATTCGGCGAAGGTACACAAAATCTTAATGATCTTCGTGAACTGTCCTTTTGTGCCTCAACAATCCTGATTTTTGTGCAAGCTTCTTTTCACACGTGTCTCATGGAAAATCTTTGTAACTTTCATGTCCTTTTTTTTGGTGGAGAAGCAAATGCTCTTTACGTCCGAATTTCTTCTCGCATTTGTCATATCCGTAATATTTTCGATCTTCATGGACTGCTTTTTGGTGTTTCAGCAAGTACAATTTATATCTAAATCTTTGTTCGCACTTGCCACATGCAAAATTTTTCAGACCTTCGTAGACTATCCTTCGATGGCTCAACAAATGCGATTTTTGTCCGAATTTCTTCTCACACTTTTCGCATTCATAATCTTTCCGCTTTTCATGAACTGTCTTTTGGTGGCATAGCAAACCGAATTTAAGTTTAAATTTCTTCTCGCATTTGTTGCATCAAAATCTTTTCGACCATCGTGTATTGTCTTGAGGTGAGTGAGCAAACTTGATTTTTGTACAAATTTTTTCTTGCAAAGATCGCAGGCATAATCTTTGCGACCATCATGTACTGTTCTTTGGTGGATAAGCAAATAATCTTTACGTACAAATTTCTTCTCACATTTGCCGCACGTGTAATCTTTACGACCTTCATGGACTGTCTTTTGATGCAAAAGTAAAGCCGATTTAAATCCGAATTTCTTTTCGCACTTATCACATAAATAATCTTTACAACCTTCATGAACTGTCCTTTGATGGATCAGCAAATGTGATTTGTGTCCAAATGTCTTCTCGCAATTGTTGCATGCGTAATCTTTCCGACCTTCGTGTACTGTCCTTTGGTGGCACAGCAAATGCGGTTTTTGTCCGAATTTCTTCTCGCATTTGTCACATGCGTAATCTTTATTACCTTCGTGTACTGTCCTTTGGTGCCTCAGCAAGTCTGATTTTTGTCCAAATTTCTTCTCGCACTTGTTGCATGCGAAATCTTTGTGACCTTCGTGTACTGTCTTTTGGTGGTAGAGCAAATTTCCTTTTTGGGTAAATTTCTTATCGCAATTATTGCATCCGTAATCTTTCTGACCTTCATGTATTGTTTTTACGTGTAGGGACAAGCTCGATTTTCGTCCAAATTTCTTCTCACAATTGTTACATGCGTAATCCTTGCGACCAGCATGGACTGTTGTTATGTGCAAGACTAAACCCGATTTATTTTCAAATTTCTTCCCGCAATTGTCACATAAGTAATTATTGTAGACTTTAAAGGCGAAATCTTTGTAACCATCGTGTACCGTCTTTATGTGTAAGAGCAAACTCCGTTTCTTTCCAAATCTCTTGGCGCACTTTTCGCATAAGTAATCTTTAACGACTTCATGGAATATTTTTTTATGATTAATCAAATTTGATTTATTTTCAAATTTTCTCTTGCACTTGTCGCATGTGAAATTTTTGCAGCCTTTGTGTTCTGATATTTGATGCCTACTTAAATGACTTCGGAACTCAAACTTTTTTTCGCACTTGTCGCATGCATAATTTTTTTGTTCACTATGAATTGTATCTCGGTGTGTAATCATGCTTGATTCTAGTGTAAATGCCTCCTGACAAATATCACAAATGTATTTTGTGTCGTTTGTAACAACAATGTCGTGTTCACTTATATTATTTCTCGATACAATATCTTCGGATTTCTCCTCACTCTTATCCATTATGGTACCTAAATTGAACGATGGATCCTTCTGTTTGGTGCCACGGAAATTGAATTGAACTTTTGTTTTGGTATTATAGCTTACTTGATCGAGAAAGTCAATATTCAAACTAATTTGTTTTTACTATAAACATGATTAATTTTTGCAAGGGACGATGTGAAAATCGTTCAATTAATCATATTGTTTACAATTAAGTTACCGATTCATCTGTTTATACATTCTCCTTACAAAGTGAAGCAGTTTGAAATCTTAACTTGTCAACGATCTCAATAGTTTCATATTTTATCTTCCCAAAGATGAAATCAGATCGTGTGGACTCTCTTGGGTCTAGTGGAAATCATCTTGCTCTTATTAAAATTTATAACCAATGTCAGACAAGTGATTATATTTAATGTTATGAAAAGTCGATGAGTAGAGCAAAGAAATTCCAAAACCAATTGGTCGGAGAGACAAAGAATAAGGATATCGGTTCCGGTTTTACGAAAACTGTAATTATAAGAAAGTTTATTGTAGCTGAATATTTTTATTAGGCGAAAGATTCATTAAAACCCAAATAAATATAATTAAACAGTAAAATTTTACTTCAACAGTTGGTCCTTTTTAAGAAATTTCCTAATTGAGTCTTTTACCACGAGTTACGAATTGTATGCAGTTAAAAATAAAAATTTATATCGAAGAGTTAAAGAATGTTAGCTTTAATACATTATCTATTTCCAAATCTTTAATGCTTAAAATTGGGTAACAAAATAATGATACAATAAAAACTCAAATTCAATAAGGAAAAAAAATTGATGAACCTCTTGTTTATGTGAAAGTACCTAAACGATTATTTAGTTAGTAAGACTTGCTGCTTAAGTTAAATTGTACTATCCAAATCAATAAAATAGGCTTATCAGACTTAAGGAAGTTAATAAAATTTAAAATTTTACAAATATTGTATTGATTATTTCGAAATATAACTGGAAATCGTGGAAGTACTTGCCCAAAAATCAATACATTTATTATTTTGGTATATGAATACTTATAAAATCAAATTAATTATTAATCATATTTTCATTTTTTTTTTGGTCCTATGAAATTTGCTATGAAGCACATGATACCTCATGTTATTTCATAAGTAAGATTGTATCTTGATGTTGAGTTTTAATATTTTGAATTCAATTGTGAATTCAATATTGTGTATATTAAAAAAAAGTTTACACTTAAGTTTTCTTAAGTTTTTTTAAGTTTTTCTGATCCACTTTATCGTATCGTATACTACTATTACTTTTGCAAACAGCTAAGTGAATGTCATTATTTTTAGGAAATGATCAACCCTTGGTGAAACATGAACAATTAGTTGATCGAAACAGTTTTATCGAAACACAAGCTCTTTGATATAGAAGGGTTTTGAAGAGAGCATATAGAGAGTCTATAATTTGTAAATAAAAAAATTTATTTTTCATTGGTGAATTAGTATTTTTCATTATACAGAAGGTAAATTTCAATACCTATTAATTACAAAATTTTATTATCTAAAATGATATTGTTCTATTATACAACTTTTCATCGTCCGTGTGAATTTTTAGTCTACGTTCTCTTTGAATATATCATCTATTAGATCAACTGGATATGACACCTCTGGTTTACTAACTTTAGCAGCAATTCTTTGTTCTATTCTATTCATATATTTGTTTCCTGCTTGTTTGTTAAAGGCTTGACGTAACTGTAATAAAAATTAAAAATTAATATCTTGTATACATTCATATTAAAAATACAATTTAAAGAAAAAAAAGATTACCTTAGCTGGGGATATATAATGAGGATTATCCCACAGAGTATCACCACCAAAACTTTCATTGAATATTTTAACTGGATTGAGCACAAATCGTGGCCCTATTTCTGCAAGTTCACCTTCTTCTGAGATGATTTGGAAATTTCTGAACCAAATTCGGTTATCCATATAAGAAAACGTATACACTTTGTCAAAGAAAGGTTGACTCTTTGGATGATAATTAGGAACTCCAAAGATTTGTGATAATAATTCCTTCATTAATTGCAAGTGAGGCAAAGTAGTGAAAACTTCATCAAACGATAACAATGGCCTGGAGCCTTTTAAGCAATTACCAGTCATTTTCAATTCACTCATTGTATAGACTATAATCAAAAGAAAGAAACATAAATAATTAAGAAATCGTGAAATCAGTAATTCATTTCTACTATCATAGAAAATTTTTATGATTGAATGATGCATTGCGAGCATTGTTATGATACTCACTGTTTTCTACAAGAAACTTGATACATGGACCTTTTGGCACATTTGACATCCACATATACAGATCTCTCTTTTTCCTGCCTTCAAATAAAATTGCTTTGTTGCAATTTTTTGATTCACAAATTTCATTCACGATACGTAAGTCTGGTGTACGCTCCATCTTAGCTTCAGGCTTTGAATGAGGCATAAGAGTTTTTAAATCTTCCATCAGATGACGGTTTTTGTGATTTATCCCTCGAGTCGCAAAGATCAAAACACGTTGTTTATTGACCCATTTGGTCTGAAAAATTAATTCATTTTATAAAGTTTTTTCATAAAGTAAATTACAGCTATCTTATAATGATAGACAGGTTGTAACACTGACCTTTTTTGCTACGGGTTCATCAGAGATCCTTTTAGCATCTAGTTTTGTCAACTCCTCTACAGGTGTAGGTTCTTCTACTGCTTTCCTTTTCTTTGTTTTTGGTACTTTAACCATGTTGATAGGAATGTTGATATACTTTTATACTGAAATTGAAAGAAACTTTTAATCAGCTTTTTATGACACACACGTGCTTCAGCGTCTATCGTCGTCTGCCTCTATGAGTCGAAACGTGTGCGCAAGATAACCTCTTATAAGGAGGCTCTTTCGCTGCAATGTTTTTTACATTAAGCTCGCGGAGCGCTAATGCATGGTGCAGCGCGCAACGTACTGCGCATGTGCTCTGCGACTAGTCGCGAGCAGAGTAGCAGAGTGCAGACTTGTCGTCAGCTTTTATTTACATCACGGCTCATGTGCAGCTGCGATAAAATTCGATATTTGTGAGTAATAATATGATTAAAATTAATAGAGCCTCCCTAGTTGATTATAAAAAAAAAAATATCAGCCGGTATGTTATCGAAAATGGCTAAGATGGGATTAAGTAAAACTGTTTTACAAAATACGTTTGAAACATGAGGGCATGAATCTTTAAAATTATTGCTACAAGAAAGTATTAATGGGAAACCTCGGATTACAAAAAACAAAGCAATAATTAATGTTATTTAAAGCTTATTTTCCACTGATAAATAGCATAAGCAAACATTTTATCATTTTATATTGTTTACAATTTTTTTAAACTATAAGAATTTTTTAATTATATAATTGTTAAATATTCATTAAAAAATTTATTTAAAGAATGTTTGTATTCAAAGTATAAATTCTGTAAAAAAAGGCTTTTATTAAAAAAATATTAACACTATTTTTTTTTTTTTTTTGAAGCGCATTTGAATTTCGCGCGCTTTCGTGCGCACTGCATTGCTGCTGTCTGCTTCGGGTCGCACCACAAAATTGACCATATAAAGCAGATTATCTTCTTAGAATGGTCAGCTACCCCTATTTTTTTACAGGAAACGATTCGTGAAACTCTAACAAATCAATTGATATAACTTTTATGAGGATGTAGAATTTTCTACAAAAGTTATTATCGAAACAAGATCATTTCCTATACGAGTCTATGTTAAAATTGCAATTTTCAACAGCATTTTTCTCGGAAACGAGTTCAGCTACCCCCATTTTTTTTTCTTTCTACATAATTGTGTGGCTCTAACGAATTGATTGATATAACTTATATGAGGATGTAGAATTTTTATCAATATCGAAAGGCGCGCGCGTCGTCTCACTGAAATATTCGTAGAGCCTAGGGACTCTAGACATTTTTTGAAAATATATGATTTTAATCTCCAATATAGTTATGTGAGCAATTCACTCATGTTCTAACATACATTTCTGGGTTTCTTTTTGTTAAATATTGTAGAATGTATAAATTTTATTCGATCAATTTGCATGCTTGTCTGTTTTTAGGCATCCGTACATAGAATAAATTTATTTCTCCATAAAAAGTACAATTCAAATGATTGTTTGAATTTTCACATCAATAATATCATATAACGAAACCGTTCGGCAAACTTAAAATATCGTAACTGAAACGCATCGATTGTTTTGATTGCTCTCAACGGGTAATTGAACGCGTGAGTTACGCGCAAATTCTTATCGTAGAAAATTCTGCAGGCCACCCGAAGAATGCGTATTTATTTTTTGTACTCGGCTTTAAGCAAACCGGAAGTATCGTTATTTTGTTCTGACTGATTCGACATAAAAAGTGTGTTTGTACACACACGAAACACGACTCACATTATGTCAAAGAAAGGGGGCAGGTCTGGGAATGTTTACAAAATCTATAAATGACGCGTGATCTCGGCAACATATTATGTCCCACCAGCCAACAGCTCTCCCCCAAGCAACTAAGATCGAAATCCGGAAATTCTATTAATGCTCGTTTACTTTCACCGCAGAAAAACTACGATATTAGCCTTTTCGATCCACCTCGCGAAAGCGTATTATAATATAACCATACGATATTTTCTCGCTCGTTCCTATTATCGTTGAACGCACGCAAGTGGCGCTAAAAAATCGCAAGAGCCGAACATTTATCGCTGCGATTTCGTGCGCATACGAGGCGACGCGCACGTGTGCCGTACGTATGGCCCGTGGAGCTAATCGACTTATTTTGACGTTATATTAAATATAAAAAAAAAATAATAATAATGAAAAATTCGAGCGGCCGCACGCGCGCTTACACGCATTAGAAACACATAATTCACGTGTTTAATGAATATAATGGCGCGCACGTATGAACACACAAAAATCGGCTGATGCTCCCGGTCGTCTGTGGTTCTCGCGCATTCGTTTGGCAAAATATATTACGTCGATGAGTGGCGCATACAGAAATACAATAAATATTTGCACGCGCGTCAAATTAATCGATTCTTCTTTTTCTTTCTCGCGTCCCCACCCGAGCATCGAGGTTTCGATGTTAAATTCAAAAAATCGATTGATACTATTTGGAAAAATATCGATGGACTTTATGAATTATTGAAAATACTTGATAATACATTCCGCAGATATTTTGGGAGTTTGCATCAAGACGGAGACATTTGTAATAGTTTTCTATAAGCCGCTTATCGTTTTGCTCGTGAGGAAAAAAAATAGAGAACTCGCATAAATCGGTTGCTGCGCGCTCTTCGGTAGCACTTCTTGCAGCGAGCCCGCGCGCGTTTAATCGATAAATTTGCACCCGCACCTTTCTAAATAAATCAAACAACAATCGCGCGTATAATCTCTCGACGCTGAGAAACCGGTAAATTCGAGCTCAATTTTAGCCGCTGATAAGCTAATTTTAAACAATTTAGTCAATTGTATATACCTAGCTCGATTTTACTCAAAAAGCGCGAAAAAGACTCTTGTCTATTGCGAGTTTTCTGCTCGCTCCACGAAGTCATTTGAATATTTTTAATTCCTGAGAGATATCAGTGAGCGCTCGTGCGCGCGCGAGCGAATTTTTTATTTTCTCTCTCTCTCTCGCTCGAAAAGAAATCGATACATTGATAAAAACGAAAATCATGCAAATTTTTTTTCTTCATATTATACGTATATCCTCCATTACTGATTTTGTCAACATCACGTAGGCAATAAAAATTAATTCGGACGAGTTGTGATGCGTGCCTCGCGAGACGAGCTCCGTAATACCCCGCGACCTTCTGCCTGCCTCTGGCCTCTGCTTCTTCATCTTCTTCCTCCTCTTCTACGACTCATCTCTCTGTGCGTCGATGACAGCTCTGAACTCTCGAGAGCTATAAGTATATATGTCAGCCATGCTCACGATTCATATAAAATGGTATATCACCGTGTACTTTCACTTTTATGATTTTTTTTTTGCGCGCGCGCGACGATCAAATTTTTTTTATTAATTTGTATTATTGTGTAACGCGCGCGAGATTACGGCCCGCTTGCATCCTGGAACGATGTCGTATTTATATATTTTCTCAAAACAAACGAACGCGCGCAGCAATAATCTCGGAAACTTTGAACGCGAAATTAATGATGTATCGCGTCGAATTACGTAAGATTACAAACTGTGTCATTGACCTAATAATAGTATCGGTAAAACGCGCGCGGAGTTAACGTCCATTTCGCGCGCGCGCGCGTCGGATTCTATACATTTTTAATACGAATGCGATGCTCGAGTCGCGAAGTTTAATTTATAAAATGAAAATTTATTGAAACGCGAGGAAAATGTTTTATTATCTATTTGCTCGTTATCTCGTGAGTTTTACTTTAGGAATTCGAGTACTCGAATTCTAATCTTCGATCCATGCGCGCGTTAATAAAATTGTTCGATGATATTGTTAATTTGTTAAAAACGAGTGAGAACGAGATTTTTCACCGATAGAAATTGAGCCTCTTACGTCTGGATCTCGAAAGCTCTTGAATCGTACTGGTCATTTATCGCTGACAAGTTTCAAAAAGTATAGCAAAAATTTATTAATTAAAAAGAACCAGGAAAAACGAATCTCGAAAATCCCATCGGAACGCGTGCCATCGAGTTTCGTAATAAACGTATTTTAGCACTGCAGAGAAGACAGTGGAGTTCGATCGAAGATTGTTCGGCGATTTAAAAAATATACACATTTATAAAAAAAAAACAACTCACCTAACGGAATTCGGTGGTAATTTGAATATTCTACACATTGTAGTCGCGTGATCGCATACATATACCTAGTTATCGCGCGCGGGGCTGGCCTTTTTGAAAGGCTCTCGTCGCTGTTTTTGTAATCGATTCGCCGACGTCGGCCGCGGCGGTGGCGTCATGTTAAAAAAACTGTAAAGATAAAGTTGAATAAAGAGAGTCGAGCGACTTTATCGGGACATACAACAATTTTAACACAAAAATGTTTGCATGGAATTATCAAAAAGCAACAGAAAAAAACAAACGAACAACTTGCAAACAGCGATCGAACTTTTTCAAATATATGTACATTTGAGAAAAGAAAAGAAAAAGAATAAAGAGAACGAGTTTCGATGTCTCGTCGCTGCCGACGTTCAAAACTTCGAACGCGACGACCGTTTCGAATTAACCGCCGCGCCGCGCATCGGCAGCAGCGCAGAAATTTTTGCAGAGCCTCCGCCGCGGCGCCTGACACTGACTGCTGCTGCTTGCTGAGTGCAGACTCCTTTTTGTAACGGAGTTGATTCACATTCGCCGCTCGCGCAAAATTTCAGTCATCGTTGGTGCGTCGCCGAGTGCTGACTGCTGAGAGCCGCTCCGCGCTGCATCGTCTCTCGCTCGCTCTCTGCGTGCTGTGTTTCCGCGTCTCTATAAAACACTGACTCTCGATATATTGTAACAATCTATATAGCTATATATGCATGCCGTGTAGCTTGTAACGTATTTTATCATCATGGATTTGTGTATCGTGCATGTGTGCGTGCCTCGCACTGCAGCAGGCAGCAGCAGCAGTAGCAGTAGCAGCAGTAGCAGCAGCTCCTCATCGAAATGAAAACTAGTTTGACACACTGCGAGAGCGGGGCTTAGTGTGCGCGACGACAAGAGAGCCTTGTGCACACACAGACACAGACGCACACACACACGCGCGTATTCTCACCTCGTATACGTATATATATAGAGGAGCTTGCCGTGTTTGTTACAGTGTGCAGGGAGGGTTAAGTTTTTGTGTATACAGCTGTGTATTACAAGGTGCCGAGATATATGTAATAGGCATTACATAGTTTTTTTTTTGCGCGCGCGCGGTGGTTGTGTTTGTTGTTGCTGTGCTGCTGCATTATCGTTCTCGATAAGAGGCAAACAAAATAAAAAAAAAGAAGAAAGAAGTGAAGGCGCGTGAGCAGTGTTGCTGTGCTGCCAGTGTCACAGAGAGCTGTCGTCGTCGTATCCGCTGCTGTGTGCTGATGTTGTGTCAACGTGTGTATAATCGTGGTGTGTGTGCAGTGTCGCTGTCTGTATACATGTGTGCTGCTACTACTGCTGCTGTTGTTGTTGTTGTACCGCGGCGCAGCGAGTAAATGAGTCTCTATACAGATGTATACAAGCAGTCGCGAGATGCGTACGACATAAATGTCACTGCGACGAATTTTGTCGACGAGTGCAGCAGCCGCGAGAAAGAAGAGGAAGCAGCATCAGCCGCCGAATCGGGCAGCTTCATCGTCATCGGCATAGCAACCACATCATCGTCATAGTCATCATCATCAGCGTCGTAACACGCTCACACACACGCAACGAGACGCACATAATATACAGATATATTGTTATTAAAAATAATCGCTCTCGCAAGGACCGACTCTCTTTTCTCTTGCATATAGAGCGCGATTGTTGCGGACGCGCGAGAGGGGTCACACGCACATACACGACAGCCGACAGCAATATTATAATAACATATACTTGTTGTCGTCGTGTATGTCGCGTCGCCAGATACAAAAGAAAGATATATAGAACAAAACAACGGAAAGATCGATCATGTCGTCGTTGGAGCAACAACAACACCTCCACTCGATGAGTGGGTCGTCGGACGAGGACGAATGGCTCGTGGACGAGCATCCGCAGCTCCAGCAACAACAACAACGACTCCACTCAGCGTACGAGGACATCATACTTCCACAACTGCAGGAGCAGCTGAACAGATTGTCACCCATCGGCCGCGAGACAGCGTCGGCTGCGGCGGCGGTAACGACGTGCTGCGACATCGCGACGGCGTGCGATCACATGTCGCCGACGACCGAAGCTGGCGCGTCGCCGGTTCAGGCCGCCGCCGCCGCCGCCGCTGCAGCTGCACCAGCCGCGGTGCCCGCCGTGCAGGTCTCGGGCGACGACAGCTCGAAGCACGAGGCCAACAAGGTCGTGAGGGTCGGCTATTACGCTCTCGGCGAGACGATCGGCAAGGGCAACTTCGCCATCGTCAGGAAGGCCACGCATATCGTCACGGGGTCGATGGTACCTGCAGTAATACCTCGTTCTTTTTGTTATTTGTTTTTTCATGCTTCTTCCTCCTCCTTCTCTTCTTCTTGTTCTGTCTTATCAACGCGCACCCATACACCACGCTTGCGATACAACATTATACACTCGGAGCGTTAATGGTCATTTTATCTCTGTCTCGCAAAAACGTGTGCGTGCGCGGGCGGACAACGCACACAGCACAGCGCAGCTCGGAGTGTCGAGTCTCGATCGAGTCGTATAAGCGCGCGCTCCGAAAATCCGAAACGATAATTTGGGTCTCGCGTTGTTTTTCTTGCTCGCGCTCTCTGGCAAACTCTCGGTCGTTCGTGTGCGCGTCTATAGCACTCTGCAGCAGAGCTTCTATATAATATTATAAAGTTGGTGTTGGTGCCTACATATATACACAGACGCGTGCTTCGGAGCATGCGAGAGCTTGTATACACGTACATATTCGATGTCGCTCGCTCGAGCACAGCAAAGAGAGCGAGAGAGTAAGAGAGAGAGAGAGAGAGAGAGAGAGAGAGAGAGAGAGACGCGACGACGAACGACCTTCGCGTATCAGTGTGTGTAAACCTGTCTCGGTGTTTCGAACTCTCTTGCAATATATAGCATACCGTATATACCGTGTAGTGTATTATATGCCTGCCTGCGCGTATAAACGCGCTCGCTATAATACACGCCGACCGAGAGTTCTATATAATGCGCCTTTCGGAGCAGCAGCAGTCATCGCGAGCACGCGTATCTCTAGTGCATGTGCGTGTATTTATGCGTGCAAAAGAGCGAGACAGAGACAGCGCAGAGACGTGTGCAGAGAGAAAGAGATAGAGAAAAACACGATCGCCGATTTTTTTTCTCTCTCTCTCTCTCTCCTTTTTTTTTCGTTTTCTTTTTTAAACTTTGCGTTTCGCGACTCCTTTATTAGCCGTGCACTGCGCTCTCTGCTGCTTAACGCGTACCTATACTCGCGTTCGCGCACGTGATAATGCCGTCGATGATGCTCTGGTATACAAGACTCAGAGTCTTGTATCATTGCAATACATAATATATAATCAAATGTAAAGCTTGCTTTGCCGACGACTCTTTTTTTTATTTTTCTATCAATATACGAGAACACGCGCGTGCACGTGCACCCACAGTCTGACACAAAGCTCCGAATTGTCATTTCGACGCGGCCCTAGCATAAATAGCCGATTGCGCCGAGTTTAAAGAGCGCACGCGACGATCGTCATATCTATATACGAATGTCAAAATTCGATTTCTCTCTCGTCGCAAAACGGATGCGGATGATACCGAAACGCCGAGGAGATTAAACAATGAGAGAGAGAGAGAGAGAGAGAGAGGAGAGAAAGTATACGAGTCGCTCTTTCGCGTGATGCTGCTGCTATGACGTCGATGACGATTACGATCATCACGTGGGTGCACGTTTGTTGCAATGTGTTCATCTCTCCGGAGAGAACAACCTCCAGCAACCTACAGCAGCCACAACATTTATATACATGTGTGTGTGTGCGTTACATGCACACACCAACGAAACGGATAAGTGCGATAACGCGCTTGTACACATGGACACTCGCTTAAACACGACGCGCGTGTACATGTGCGAATCGCTTCGTCTATATGATGATACATGGGCAAATCGCCGGATACTACGTTCGCGCGGCTCTCTCGCTCTCTCGGCACATTTGGCGCATGATATTTTGCCGTAGTATATATGCACTCACGCGTATATTGTGCACATGCACACACTGTTCGAGTCCGCGTGCGTGCGTGTGTAGGATTGTGTGCGCGCGTCGCCGCCACCGCAGCCGCGTGCTGACGTAAACAGCCATCGACTACTCTCTTTCTCTCTCTCATACACACACACACACACACACACACACAGTCACTCTATATACATGCGCGAGTGTATTATTGAAGCTTTGAAGCTGAGCAACGAATGACGTTTAAAGGGCTGATGCTCTCTCGTTCGCGCGTTCGCTCTCGAGCTACTCGTTCGCTTACTTATGTATGCGATGCCAGTCCGTATACACATATACCGTCCGTATCAGCACAAGTGGGGAGATATATTCCGCTGTTTTTTTAGCTTTCCTCGTGTATATGTATGCTGTATTATCGGATGAAAGTGTAAAAATCTTTACGACTCCGAATGGCAAAGAGGAGGAGAGCTTTTCTGACGCGCAGCACAGAGAGAGAACTGCGAGAAAGATGATGATTGACAATTTGATTTGTATATATGCGCGTCGATGCAAAATGCGAAAAATTTCTTCTCCTCGCTCGTATATACGCATACCTATACTTACTTCTTTTTTTATCGCGCGAAACCGGGGAGGCTCGATGAAGAGACGGCTGATGATTTTCGCGAGATTCGAAAGAGCCGCGATGACTAACTCGATCTATTATTTTACGATAAACGCGGCGCGCGCGATTCTTTACGAGGGCATTTGTTTGTTGAATAAACAGAGTTGTTCGGCTTAAAAACTCGCGTGGAAAATTCAAAGCGATCCTAGATCGTAATTTTTCCGTCGCGGGCGCGTGCTTTCGAATCGAGATCGCCTCGTTTTCGAAAAACAACATACACGTATTCGTCTGTAAGTCGAGCGAATTGTGTGTATAAGCTTACAAAAATGTTAATCCAGAATGTTGTACGAAAGGTGGATAGGCGCGTACTGATGCATTTTTTAAGCCTCAAATTTCTATACACACTGCTCTGTTCTATAAATTCTACTAAAAACTATACTATATGCTTTTAATCGAAAGAAATATACTTGCAAATATTTTATTCGTGCTTGACGTCACAAATTCTTAAAATCAAAATCTCGCTGTCGACGTATTTTTATCCCAACCATCGATTATTCACCGATAGCCGGTTGAAATATTTTCAATAATTTTTAATAAATATTTTGATTTTTTTGAATATGTTGCTTCAAGCCTTTTGTTATTGTTTTAAAAACCCGCCTTTCATAATAACCAAATCTACTCCATTAATTTTAAAATAGGTGGCAATCAAAATAATTGACAAAACGAAACTGTCCGAGGAAAACTTGGCGAAAATATTTCGCGAAGTTAGTATTATGAAGAGGCTAAATCACAAGCATGTCATTAAACTGTATCAAGTGATGGAAACCGAGAAAATGATTTATCTCGTCACGGAGTATGCGGAGGGAGGAGAAATCTTCGACTATTTAGTTAAGAACGGTAGATTGAAAGAAAACGAAGCTCGGCGTATTTTTTGCCAAATAGTTCAGGCCGTATTATATTTGCACAAAAACGGCTTCGTGCATCGAGATATTAAGGTGAAAAATAAACTTTAAACTTGTGCAAAGACAAAATTTTTCCATATTTTATAACAAACCTTTCCCCATCGCAGGCCGAAAATCTTCTGCTCGATAAAAAGGGAAATATGAAAATAGCAGATTTTGGATTCAGTAATGAGTATCAGCCAGGAGTGGCTTTACGGACGTGGTGCGGTTCTCCGCCTTACGCAGCACCTGAGATTTTTAATGGGACAGAATACGATGGACCAATGACTGATATTTGGGTACATAGAAATATGATAAAAAATTCCTTTTTCATTTGTTATAATTTTTTAATGAAAAATAACGGAAAATTTATTTTTTAGAGTTTGGGAGTTGTATTATATGTACTAGTTTGTGGGGCTTTACCTTTTGATGGTGCTACTATGCAGCTTTTACGAAAGGCTGTCTGTTCAGGGAAATACAGAGTACCTTATTTCATGAGTGAATGTAAGTATAATAACAAACAGTTACATATTGAGTCTCTTGTTTTTAAATTCATATTACTATCTCACATGTGTTATGATACTGTTGATATTAGAGGCACTAGTGATTATAGAAACAAGTAATTTTTGATAAGACTTAAATCACTCGCAAGTGGTATAACATATAACGTCAAGCAAAAATATGTTTTCAGAAACACAATTCTGTTAAATACTTGGCTAATGTTTTTTTAAAAACTTCGCCTCACAAATTATAATTTAATTCTTTCATCTATTGTATTCTAATGTATTTCTTTATTTTTAGCTTGTGAACGATTAATAAGAAATATGCTCATGGTTGATCCATCGCGGAGATTGTCTTTGCGTCAGATATTGGAACATCCTTGGATGGGAGAAATGGGCCGTGAAGTTTTAAGACAAGAAGCCCTAAATCAATTGAAGGAACCACCCTTAGATCCACCTCCTCCAAACAAGACTGTCCTTCGAGCGATGTCAAAGTTACCAGACGTTACGGATGAGATGATAATAAGATCGGTCAATAGCAAGGCTTTCGACCACTTGGCCGCCATCTATGCCTTATTGCTTCGCCAATTCACCGAAGTTTCGAAAAAGAAGAAAGCTGGCAAGGAGGAGAAGAAGGCTGAGGAGGAGAACGAGGAGATATATAGACCCTACACTTATTGCACAAAAGATGATCCTCGACAATGGGAGAGTGTACGTTTTTTTATTTTTAAAATGATATACATTTATTTTTATTCTTGCAATTGACTACATTACTTTTCTTTTTAACGATAATTAGTTCGGAGACGCAGACGTTCACGAAATCGAGGAGAGAAATGCGCTAACTCCACGATTTTATACTGGACCCTATCTGGCTACTCGTCGTCACACAGTTGGACCTGGCAATACGGGTCACAATCTGGACAACGTAGCGATTGCATCCGGTTACTCTTTCACGCCGGAGGCCAATGCTTCTTCACAGTTACAGAAAAATTTAGTGCCTCAAACGAATTTGGCCCTGAATATGCCTTTGGTGCAGAATCAACCGCCTCAAAATTTCCAAATCAAGGATCAGCATCTGTTAAAACCACCGTCTTTCATGCAAGGAGGCAGTGAGTATTTTATTATTATTATTATTATTTTTTTTTTCATTACAAAACCGGACAGAAACTTGAAATCGCTATGACATTCCAGTAAATTCGTTCGGACGAAGAGCTTCGGATGGAGGAGCGAATCTACACATTCTCTATCAAGCACAGCATGGCAGCGTTACCAGTAATAACGAAGAAATCGGAAATTGGAGTCAGCCAGGCAGTCGAGAACATCTCCAGCCTGTACGTAATAAATTTCATTTTCAAAGCAATGCCTATATACAATGTGACGCGTTGTAATCATAAGCCATTCTTTAGCCCGGCAGTCCTCAATTCGGTAATGGTTCAAATGGCGATAGCAGTGCGACAAGTACACCGAGCAGTGGGAGCGATCGTCGTCAGCGTCGCACTGGACTTTCAACGGTCATGCAAAGGCCAGGTAAAACGTTTTATTCCTTAATAGTTCCTTATTAGACTTAGATTACTTTTGGCATCATTAAATCAGTAGAGCAATGTATGTATATCGAACAATTTTTTTGCGTGTATGCTACACATTTGAGTTTTACATAAAAAGTCAACGTCCACGGACTTTTTCTTTAAACGTTTTTATTGATTTTACACGATATACATTGATTCATTTTTTACATTGAATATCTCACAGAACATGAATTATCAAGATATTCTTTTTGTAAAAAAAGAACTGATACACTGTAAATTGATAAACCATATGCATTGGTTCACTTTTCTTTCATCACTTGAATGTTAAAAACACAAACTGACCAAGTCATTTAACAATCAACCTTTTCATGCATTTTATTATGTGTAAAAAATATTCATGTTATTTTCGTTCATAAAAACATCATGTGTTTTTCACTTAGCAGTGTATTAATTCTTTATTGGTTGTGGTCGGGATATGGTTTCAGATCTATATTTACAGTACCTAATGTTCAAGGGATCTGTCAATTATATCCAGTCCAAATATATGTTTTATAGTTTTATTATTATAATTTTTCGTTTATTTTGCTAAATGAAAATTTTTCTTTCTTCCTTTTTTTTCACCCGCTCCTTCCGTTCGCTTTGCATGCAAATTCTGTAAATGCCCAAAAAAAAAAAACAAATCTGACAAAATTCGTTCTAAATGTACTTGACGTCGCAAACATCAATACGAACACACTTTTTACACGTTCACCCACTGGCAAATATCCTTGTCACAATATCCCCCCGAAAATTCTTGTGCCGCCTATGCATGCTATGTAGTTTTGAATCCTGAGGTGATCGTCGAGGTGGAAAAGAGGATGAACAGGCGTTATTTGCCGAGTCAGTTGATGAACGCTGGATGTTCTACGCTGCCTCAGTTTCGCAAACCAATCGGTCATCCAGGCATCACCGGTAAATTATCCTTTTTATGATTTTTTATTATTTTTCTCTGGCTTGTTATAATTGTTTTTTCTTATTTTTTTGTTTCGTTACGTTTTCAACACCTTGCTCACATCGTTTTTATCATCCCCCTGATTTGTCGTGTTTGTCGTTTGCATTTATTTATAAATCCACAGTGTGGCTTTCATTACTTATTGATGGAATGTGTTATGAGCTAGTTGATATGTACATTGTGCTTTTGTAAATTAAGGTGAAAGTTTTCGTATGTATACGTTTGCTCAATAATTGGAGTGCAATTATTACCGCGCCGATCGCGCATATACAGGAGTGTGCCGTCGTTGCTGCTGCTGCCATGCTGATACTCGCTGTTTTGCTGCTACTATACTGCTGCTGCGGCGTAACCTGTCATTAGACGGCGGATAGACGGCGCATTTTCTATCTTTTTTAAGCAAAGCGGAGAAAGCGTTAGAATGGGTGCATTTTTACCTTCTCCAAAAATAACACCGAACATTTCATTAAATTTAGAATAAAAACGAAAGTTATTTCCTAAAATAACTTTTACCGCGCTCGAGAAAAATAAAATCGAAAGTCTCTCTCTCTCCTTGCATTCGGTCGCATGCATCACGAGACTCGCGAAACCCTGCGTTCAATATAATATACAAAAGCGCATCCAAAAAGTTCGCCCGACGTAATTGCCGCGACGATACATAACGTTATATGAACGCACGTGCTCGTGACGCCATCGCCTTGTGGTTCTCTCCCTCTGACGTTTCGAGTGGCACAATGCGCGCCCGTGACGTCAGGTTGATTATCGAATTTTTTTTCGCATCTTGTATACAGTAGCAATCTTTACATACCTGCTTGAAGTACGTGTATAATATTTCACTGCGAAAACATTATTTGACGGGTACTGTTAGCGAATCGCGCCAATTTCTCTGAAGTAATGCGCAATAAATTTCGACGAGTACATTAACTCGACGTGCGCACACACCATGTAATGTACGCAAGCTTTCAATCGCCTACCGTGTGAGTTAACGGAAAATAACAAAAAATAGGATATAAAAAATGTTTTACAGGTATACGCTTCTCCATTACACGCGACAATACAATATATGTGATTGGCATTTGAGAAAAATGTTTGAACAATGTCTCTCTCGATCTGTGTGTCTGTGTATGTGTGTGACTAATCGTCCAACTATTATTCAATCGCGCGAGCGATGTATGTATAATAGTCAGCGTGCAGACGATTTGCAGTCACAACATCGATTATTTGTTATTATTTTTTTTTGTTTCGCGTTTTTTTTCCGTATCGGTTATCGGGCTCTCTCTCTCTCTCTCTCTCTCTCTCGCTGCGTGCCGTGCACATTTCAACGCTTCTTCGTATTTTATACATGGTAAAAATTATCGATGCGATATACACACCGATACACAGCCACGCGATTGATGTCAAGAGAGTTTTTCTCAGATAGTCGATCGCATTTACGATATACTATGATACTTCTCTCGTAATTTTTCCATGCGTATGCCGCCACTTGAAATTCTGATAAGGAAATTCGTAAATAATAAAAAAATTGTGTTTTCTTTTCTTTTCCTTCAATTTTTTTTTCATTTTTTTTTCTTCCGAAAACAATTCAGGTGGTCAACGGGACTCGTTCAAGGAGCCGTCGAGCCATCAGCTGGCCCAAGTGGAGCGTTACTCACCGGTGCGTAGAGCATCCGAAGGCTCGTCAGGAATTCAGACGCCCGGCATACAGGCGCTTCAGCAGGAGGTTCAACAATTGCAGAAACTCAACTCGCCCTCGCACAGCATACCTAACTCGCCCGTGCACGAGCGTAACGTCGCCGACATTACTCATGGTAAGATTTTTCAGCGTATTCGATTGACGTCGATCGACATTACGTTCATTAGCTTACTCAATTCTTTAAAATTATTTCTCAATTGTCAGGTTTGAGTGGGTTAACGACGGCGCCCGTGCAGGGCAGCATAATGCAGGGCACGCCTGCCCAACACACGCCGAACTCCGCGCAGCCTCTGGATCTCAGTCCGATGCGACATCATCGATCGCCGACGACGACCCCGGTCAATTATTCACCCAGCAACAGCCCTGCCCTGGACATGATTCAGGAAGAACATCCTGGCGATGTTTTAAGGGTGAATATGAATTACGTCGCATGTTGTGGATTGTATGATAAAACAATTTTTTAATCTCTGTTTTTCAAACGATACTCTTTTTTTCCTTCTCTTGCGTGTTGCTGGGACGATTTTTCAGTCTCTCTTTTCTCGCGCGACTAAGTTACGGCTCTTGGTGGTAAATTTTATGTATCTCAATTATGCAGTAGCGGAAGTAACTTACACACGAGCTTGATTTCAATCTTATTTTTCGCTCCATAATACGTATACAATCGCATTACATTTCACGCAACTGTCGTCGTAGTCGTTGGTGTTACTGTCATTTTTGTCGATGTATTCGATGTTGTTGTTGTTGTTGTTGTTGTTGTTGATGTCGTGTATGTAGGCACGATACGTAACTTATTTTTTTTTTTTTTCTTTAATCTACTTCGACTCCGATTCATCATGCCTTCATTGATTAGAGAAATGAGTCGACGGCGCGCAACGAGCGGCACAACTTAATCGGGAGAAAGAGATAGCTCGTACACTCTTGTGTTTGTGCTTGTACTGCGCGTGCACGTACACCATGCGAGTATGCGATCGATCATTTAATACTCGACGATATACGTTATGGTTCGCGTACAATTTTAACGCGCACCGTCGATGCAAAAGTAGCTCGTTATCATTGTCGAAAAATTCATTTTTCATTGCGGCTTGACGTCGAGTAGGATTCTGCATATTTCGACATGCTTATTTTGTTGAGAATATACTTATGAAGTCTATACTAAGCCATCTGTTTCTATACCTTTTCGTTGGCTTGAGAACTGTCTGTAATATTCAAAATAGGTCCCGATATTTATGCCACAGAATCCACCACCACAAATTCACGTCACCGATGTTCTTGGTGAACAAGTGACCCTGATCGGTAGTCCGGGTAGTCCATCGTCGTCCGGTGACAGCTCCGAGATTCAGCCGTTTCTGCATCCAGGGCAGCAGCAAAAGTGTCCAAGCCCCCAACACCAGCAGCAGCTTCAATTATCATCGCCGACGCAGAATCTTTATACGAGTCCCATGCCGCATTTCGTCATAACCGAACCCAACGAGATGGCACCGTCGATTATGCGCGGAACCGGCCGAAAAAGCCAACTACCACAGCAACAGCAACAAGTTCTGAGCTCTTCACCGATGTTGACCGAAGTCGAAGTGGCACTGTCCGACGATGCGAGTCGATTGAATACCGAAGATATTCTCGGTCGCCTCAAGAGCATCATCGACGCGCGTGGCATTATATCCTCGAGTCAAGAGCTTGGAGAGGACAGAAGACTGAACTTGGAGTATCCCGGTGGCGTGCAGATCGAGCTTCGAGTATGCAAGAGCCAGAACAGAGATACCAAGGGTATAAAGATGCGGCGCATCAGCGGCGATCACTTGCAATATAGTCAATTTTGTCAACAGTTACTGTCGTGTATCAGTGTCTGACGCCGTTTGATCCTGCTGCTACTGCTAGTAAGCCTCTTCCACACAATCATAATTAAGATTTTGACCAATCTGATAATTACCGAATATTTCTTGGAGATTATAGATTAATAAGAAAGAAAGAAACACAAAAAGCTCGCGTGATTTAAACTAATGTGCTTTTACAAAACGTTCGAATTTTTACGAAAGAGTACGTATTTCACTACAAGCATATATTTCAAACCGACAACTTTAAAAATGATTTTTAAAGCATCGAGTGTGCGTATGTACACGCAAGTTCAGACGTATGTCACGTGAGGCCGACAATATCGCAATATCATTAATGTAAGCGCAGAATATCCTAGTTAGCTAATATTAACCAGACGATGGAAGACTCTTTAACGATACGCAAGGCTCCGTGACATACATGTAAAAAATTATCGTTGTATTTTGATATTAAGCTTTGGGCTTCATTTTTATTTTATTTGAGTCTTGCAACGTTTTTGAAAAATTTCCTTCAGAGAATGCTGAAATGTTTCTTTTTATTGTAACACTGTATGCTAGGATGCTGACAAACTGAAATTTGGGCTGAAACTCAGGCTACTTCTTTTGAAATCAGCCGCTGAATAGAGTAATACATTCGATTTGTAGAGTTTACAGATTAGTTTAGAAACATAACATGCCTTAACGTCGCGAAAGAAATATTGTTATTGTATCGATGGTTGTCAAATCTATGGTTAAGTTTTTTCTACACTCAACCAAAGAATGTTTATATTCATTTAATTATTCTCGCTTAAATAATTCAAGTTCTGGTCATTTTCATGTCCTTTGGAAAATAAGAATAATACTTTTGCTATCTTATTTTACTACTTTGAATTCTACATTCCATTAGAGCCAAAAATTGATATGAGTAGCACAATTATTATCTTATATCATTATTAGGTGCGCATAGTAATAATGAAATCCTAAATATCATAGTCTCTATTTTCATACTTGATTAGTTATTTTTGGCCCCTACTAAAATTCTGTTTGTAGTAAACCCATAAGTACTTTCTAAAGTTGAGCTTAAAAATAAAAAATAACGTTTAATGTCATAAAAATTCAAATTTCCACGATTGAAAAGTAATATTTTTTTGTTTCCGTTAATAATTAAAAGTCAAAGGTGACTTTGTAATAACTAATTTGAAGGAATTATTTTTTCTTACCATAAGTAGTAGACTCTTGTTATTTAGTTTTACATGGAGTATCTTTTATTTTGATCTCCTTTAGTTATTGATATGCTTCACTCTAGTATTATCAATGACTTTTTTTATGACTTTAAAATTTCTTTTATTAGAGTCTTTTACCTGAGCAAAATGCAATATTTTTTAAAGAATGTGTGCAACAAAGACTGTAAATAATAATTCTTATTATTGTAATTTTTGAATTTGAGAAAGTTTATACTAATTTTATTATGAGTTGCTAAAAACGAATTATCGGCAAAAGTCAATTATAGATCCCAATGTAAAAACTTTTAGTCGAATTTTAATGTGCTTTTAATTATTTATAATATGGAAAGATTAGCTACAATTCGTATAAATAAGTTTGAATGATTTGCGATGTGATATGATTTATGTACACACTGTGTTCATACGAATATATGTATTTTAGCATATCATAACATAAATAATGTGGGAAAAATCATTCCTTTTTTTACCTACTAAATGTACACAAAGTACATTTTATAATAAATACAGTCTTATTGGAATGAAATGTCTTTACTCAATCACATAGTAAAATTGTTTTAACTTTTAAGTTCAAATATATATTTAAATTAGTTTGGGGGGAATTTGTTTATTTGAAGTTTCAAAACTCGATAAATATTTCAATGTATCAAAAAGTTATATTTTTATTAAGACAAAAAAAATGTGCGTAAAAAATTGACTGCATTCGAAAAATGTAAATGATTATTATTTCAATATAATATTCATCTTTAGTTATATCATCTCCTACTTTAGTTGCTTTTTGTTAATGTTAAATGATCAATTGAATTTTTATAGTAGAAAATCATTAATTCATTATCACTTGCCTTTGTAAATAGTAAATGCAGCTTGTAAATATTGAATGTGATAATTTGTTATGGATTAGTTTATAAGAGTGCATTGCAAGTACCGAGATTAAGAAGTGACTTTGAAGTATAATGTTGTGACTTAGCTGTCGGAATTCAAATTAACTACTGTTCCATTAAAAGTTATGTTGAATTTTATTAAATTGATTCAATTTCGTGCACATTGCAAATACTATTCAAATAGTTTATAGAGAGATAAAAATTGTAAACAGTCAAGATTATTCGTAGTCAAATGTAAGTGCTGGGCACAGTTAGCTTGTACATTAAAGTTAGTAACTTTATAATTTTGACAAGGACTGTAACTACATTTTTTATGTGACCTGATGGAAAACATGAATAGACGTTGAACATAAACAATGCCATTAATAAAAATATATCAGATGTATGCTACGTTATAAGGCACATGTTGTAAGCTATGATTAAATACTGTGCTGGGGTAGTTTTTTAAATTGTATAATACACTAAAATAAGATGAGTCAACAGCTATTTTATCTGTTTGGATAAAGAAAATTGCACATTTACATATTCTATCGTATCACACTGTACATAGTAGTAAATACACTTGTACACATACGAATTTTACAAAAAAAAAAAAAAAACGTAAATTGTTGTATTGTAAGAGAGGTGATATAATGATGAAAAGCCATTTCTGTAATATATAAAATATGGAAATTATTGAAATTCAAAATATTGCGATAAGTATAGAGTAAAGATAGTATTTTCTGCTGTCAATTTTCAAGTAAGACTGTGATTTTTAAATAATGTTAATTATAACTAAAAAAACCCGTTATTATTACACCAAGCGACAACAGGAGAAAATAAATAAAATGAATCGAAATAAACAAAGTTTTTTTATAGTCAATTTCTTGAATCCACTCTTATATACTCTTAAAAAATTAATGAAAATGCTTTTAGTAATTTAAGGAACCAGGAAACAATTTTTAACAAATAGTTTTTATTGATAATTTTTTCCTACCGCAATGATTTAATTTGAATTCTTTATTCTCTCGCTTGTGTCGTTGCAAACTGCACTAGGCGCGATTTTAGAATAACCTGCTAAACCAGTGTTGACAGATAAACACGCAGGTCGCAGACTGAAGTTATTATATTGGAATAACAAAAGTTCTTTGTATTTTATTTTATTTTAATATGAAAAATTATAGAAAATAAATCTTATTTTTTACCAAAAAATTGATAAAAACCTAACAAAATGTTCGGAAGTATTCGAGATAAGTTTCAATCGATTCAAGAAGGTCTTTCTGCAAGGTAAATATTTTTATTTAACTAACAACCGAAACTGATAGGTATCAATTTTTTTCACTATTATGAAAAAATTCAAATAGAATTTTAAAAAGAACAAAGTAAAATCATTTTGTACATAATTTCAGTATTCGGGGAATGACACTTGCAGAGGCCTCAATGAAACCTAAAAAGTTTGTTAATACACGAAATGTAAATTATGATGCTGGGGCTGATGTTTTACATCACTTTCAAATGGAATGGAACAATATGCATGAATTAGCAGAAGAAAATGCCCAGAAAGCTCAAGAAGCAGATGCCTTGATAGCAACTATTCATGAAAAAATAGAATTGCAGTGGAACAGTATCGCTATACTCAATAACACTTTGTCATCTATTCCAAAAATAAATAGTGATATTCAAGCATTAATGGACCAAATAGGTAATTTATTTATTTTTAAAAGCATCATAGACAAAGGCATTATATGTTGTTTTATTTATCTTTGCAATGATATTTATTAACAGGTACCTTACAAGAAATGTTTGAAGAAGTGGAAAATGCTATTTTTGAAGTAGAAGACCTTCAGGAAATTTTAGATTTACAGAGCAGTCAGTTAGATCATAGATTTCAATTAGCCCTTTACAAAGAAAAAAAGTTAGCAGAACTCAAAAATATACGAGGTAAGAAATATTAATTATAAATTTTTATTTATAGGTTTATTTGTATCTGTTACGATGATAGAACTAATTTAAATTTATTTTTTTTAGAAAAATATGCAAATGAACATTTAGAAAAAGTTTCAAGGCACGAAAGAGCTCAGGAAAAGTTATTGAGAGAAAGACAAAATACTTTTGACGAAGCATTCAGAGAAGAAATTAAAGAGTACAAAAAAACTGGTTCAGTTCCAAGTAAGAATTGGTTTTATTTATTTGTTTAGCAATGATGAGAAACTATTTGAAAACTTGTTGTTCTATTCTAGAAACACCAACTACTTCTCACAAGGGACCAAGCTTGGAGGAAATTGTTATTGAAGCAGATTCAGCTGATTTTGATGAATTTTTAAAAGAAACATGAAAAGGAAAACATTCCCAAAAATTGTTAATAACAAATAAATCGATCCGGAAACTCTAATGTTGACAGGGTAACTGTGTAAGGAATGCTTTCATTGTGAAAAAAACGTCAAAGTTGATTAAATATTATGTTAAGACGTTAAAAAGTAATTGAGTGTGGTAGAGATTCAATATTTATGCAACTTCAAGTTTTTGGATAAAAACTGATTAAATCTTAGAATAGCTGCTAGCCTCGCACTCACTCAAAGTTGTTTCAGACTGTTGAAATATTTCATGAAGTAATTGATAGAATATAGAAGCTGGCCTTAAAAAATGTAAATAAGATAATTATGTATTTAACTACTATAGACTACAATAATATATTTTACGTAGGCCTTAAAAAATAAAATTGTATTATGAGGAACTTAGTAGTTTATATAATTGTAAAAGCTGCGCAAGAAAGACAAATGAATGTTACTAAAGGATATGCATTGAATTCATTGAATTCATATTTTTTGCCAATTTTTAATTCATTTATTATATGTTGATGAACTCAAAATATTTGCATTGTTATTCAAGCATAATTTATTTTATCACCATCAAAAGAATGAAGTTTGTATGGATTATTTTTGTATTAAAAACTGTTTTATATTAAAAATCAATTAATAATTATCTATCTCTCATCATTGAAGTTCAAGTAATATTAGTTTGTAGATTATAAAAATTTATTTTAATTCATTATTACAAGTATAATATTTCAAAAAGATTTCAAACTTTATACCTTCTAAAAGGGTATTTCTTAGTAAAAAAAGTAACGTTCCTTACTTAAAAATTACTTAATATTTGGTTCAACTTTTGAAACTTATAATCGGATTTTATGCGCTAAAAAATGAATGGATCATAAGTCAATATTTTCACACACGTTCGCGCGCTTATGGAGTGAATCTCTGCACGAATTGCTTGGAGTCATCCTCGAAATTAGATCTGACATCGAATCTAGGTCTCTGTCCATGGAGGAAGGGATTGGTCTCGTCGTAAGACTTTGGCTGACGGTTTGGTAAGTTTTTCTGTTGCTCGAAGGTATTGGGTACGTGACGCTGTTGTCCTCTGCCGAATTGGCTATCGAAAGCAGGTACGCTAGGTACGCTGGGTACGCGAACGTTGTTGACGCTGTTGATGTTGTTGAGGCTGATCGACGATGGTGGAGCACCACTGGAAATTAAAATCGATTATGTTTTCAAATCCACGGTATACTTAAAGAAAAAAAAAAGTAGAAAAAACTCACCATCCAGCTACGTTTTCGGCATCATCGCAAGCCGACGTAAGTGAATTGTAGGCTTTGCCGGCGCCGCAGTTGTGCAATCTTGGACGGTTGTTCTCGTCGCAGGTGTAGTAGTGTTGACAGTCGTGGGGCGATGCGTAGAATCTCGTGGTTGCAGCCAAGAGGGCATTTCCAACGGCTGGGCAGGTGAAACGAAGGAAAGCTGAAATTACAAAAGAAATCGGTTAAAATCGGCTTCGTCCTCGATCGGGCATACAAAAAAAAAATTGAAATAAAAAGTCGTTATCCTAGCACCTTCGGTGTCGCATTCCTCAACCTGGTCGGGCCAGTCGCAGTGATACGTTTTTGGATTGTAGGCCAATCCCTCGGGACAGTCGAAGGTGAAGGCTTTGCCCTCGACGCAGTTCATGAATTTTCCGCAGTTCTGCCTGTCACCGACTTTGAAGTAGCCGAACTGGTGAGGGCACTCTTCGCTTGGCTGAGCTCGTTCTGCGGACGAAAAAAGAAACGACCATGAAAATTAATTATGAGGTAAAGAGTACGAAGAGCGAGTAAAAAATTATAAGCACTTACGGAGCGCCGATCTTCCCTCGCACTTCACGTCGATGGGATATCCGCAGTGATTGTTGAATCTCGCCTCGGGATTGAAGACCAGACCCTCGGGGCAGAGCTTCTGCTCGGGCACACCCTCGACGCACTCGATGTAGGCGTCGCACTGCGAGGCCACGGGGAATCGGCCGTTGCGCTCGGGGCAGGCTCCGTTGCTGCTGGCGAAGGCCCTCGGTCTCTGCTGCTGCTGTTGATGCTGCTGCTGTCCTTGCTTGTTATACTGATGCTGCTCCTGGTAATCCTTGTTGTTGTACTGCTGCTGCTGGTTGTAGGGATTGTAGTGCTGGTCGCCGTGCTGCTGCTGATACTGTCTTCGGGCGTTGTTGGTGTTGACCTCCTGCTGGCGGTACTGTTGATTGAGGTAGGGATTGGATCTGAGCTGATCTTGCCGGAGCTGAGCGAAACCTGATTTGAAAAATGAATAATACAAGCTCAATGAAAAGAGTAATCGATACCCGGGTGTAATGATATGAGTCAACGAGGGACGTCGCGAACTTTCGATGTAAGCGCGTGAAAAATTACTCGAATAAACTCAAGGATGACGAGTTCAATATCGGTATGAGCTCGATGCGTTTTACGAGCTAACTCTTTTATTTAAAAGATCAAAAAGCGTCCGACGACTATAACTAGTTTGTAGAATATCAAAAAAACGTTGAGCTTTTAAAGCCAATATGTTTTTGATTTATTATATTCATAAAAATAGTCTCCGAATAATGCTAATATATTTCCTAATTATAATTGATACTATATAGCATCTGATGCTTCATCTTGAAACACTATATCTCGTTGAATTAACTTCTCATCAATTGAGCTCGAATTGAAAGCATTGCTCAATTAAAAAGAAAAAAAAACCAACGTACCATATCATATCTGTCGCGCACGCGTCCTTCCGAAAAAAAAACGTTTTATAAAATTCAGCATTGGATTCTGTGTGTACTTTCTTTAAATTTGTTTCTGGCTCGACCTCGAGGACTCTCGTCTTCTTCTTCTTCTGCTTATTATATATTACCGCAGACTTATATTATGCAATATTATACTTAAGCCATTACCGACTTTAATTTTCGAAAGAGCATCTCTTGAGTAACTCGAACTTTTATTGAGTTTTTTTTTATCGGAGCGATAGAATTTTCGGGACACGATTTCTTTTTTTTTCTTTTGGGAATTACCCAGTAATTATTTTAATTTGATTAGATTAAAATAAATCAAAAAAATTCTCATCGTTAAAATGTACAAAATAGTTTGTTTCCTTCTCTTTATGCGTAATTTATTTTTAGATCGTTTTTTCCTTCACTAGTATGTAGAAATTTTGAATGAACCAGAGGTCAGGTCAAATTTTGGAGTCAATAAGCGCGCATATATGTTTTTGCGGCCCGGTATACCAAGAGAATAATTCAAATTATTGACAAAGCCCAAAACGTAGGCTTCATTAAACAAAATACATTCACCGGTTCAGTAAAATAGTATTTATTTTGAATTTAAACAATGATTTTTTTTTTAATGTATGAATGTACACCTGTTCAAGAAATATGTTTTTTTGATGAATGAAAAAGTTTCACATGATGCGAAACTATTATTTCAAATGAATTTGTGCTATTTATATAGTACGAAATTTATTATTGAATCATTCAATTTATCTCTAAGAAATTTGTAGACAAATAGCGAATCAATTGAGATTATAAGTTTTCTAATTGAATGTTACAAATATCTAGCTAAAAAATTTGACGATAATTTTTTTCATTTTTAGGCTTTATGAAGAACTTTGAAAAAATAATCATTAAAAATGTCAAAAAACACGCAACAAATTATTTTTTTGAAATGTGGCTTTGCTGATATCCTTACAACATTTCAATTTACAAAACATATCATTTACGTATAGTTAAAAAAACAGAGTTTCAATAGAAGTCGATGGTACATTGAATAAGTCATAATATAAGATCCCTTATAATTCGTTTAAATTGTACTTAGTCAGCTATTAAAAAGTTAAGATGAATTTTCGGTTTTTTTTTCACCGATATATTTTACGCGTGAAACGATGGTTTACCAATAAATGTTTGTACTTTTTCATTTTGAATATTCTAATATTTCTCTGCCAATATCATTGTAGTTTTTATAGAGTTTTTTAGAATATTATTCAATAAAAATATCATAAAATGTTTCTATCAATTCTACATGGATTTTAATATTGTATAATTTTCATTTACTTGGATATTAAAAAGTGATACGTACAGACACGTTAATTTCTTAGATAATTATTCTAAGACAACATAGTATTAAGACATTTACTCACTAGTGCCCACGATCACGCAAAACAAGGCTAATTGAAGGTTCCTCATGATGCTGGTTACGAACTGCGACGTCGAGTCGCGCACGATCTTCTTTTGAAATTGAAATCACGATTTTGTCTTGTCGCGCGTTGTTGCTCCGTAGCTAGCCGAAGACGAACTACACTCGATCGAGAGCCTCGCGCCGGTTTTTTATCACTTTCGGCGACTGTTACATGGGGAGTAGCGAGGCTGTGTACACGAGGGCGTGTGCACGTGCCGAAAGACGATCGCAAACCCCCCCCCACACACACAGCGATAATGAAAAAGAGAGAGGACGAGACTCGAAAGATGAAAATCGTATTTACGGATTCAAATAGTCATTTGCAGTTGTATAGCATCGAGTAGAGGTGGGGTCCCAACGATGAGCTAATAATGCCTCCAGGCCATTGATGTAACTTGATTAAAATTACGGATTCGTCGGTAGTCAGGATTTACAAATTATAAAAGTCTCGAGGAAAGAAGAAGGGGTAACTTGAGAGATTGTTGGTGCCGATGAAATGTATTTGTGATACAATGATGTGTTTGCAAGATTATTATAGATTTTTACACTTGCGTTAGAGAGGCTTATAGTCAGCCGAATTTTAATTCCGTTTTGGACTGGCAGGGTATTATCACGAATACTTTTTTGTTGAAGACTCTTTTTTACGAGTTAGAAAATCACATGAGTCTTGAGATAAAAAATAAAATTCAAGCATATTAATAAATTCAACTTTAAACAGCCCCGTTGGTAAGAACATTTTTTCAGTTTTCATTGAACAGAACTTTTAAACGCAAGGGGCATAAGATTCGGATAATTGTGTTCGATAAATCTTTACCATAACAATTTAAAATTTTAAGAGTTAGTTAAAACCATCTTTTTTTAAAATAAAGTTTAATTAGAATACGAAAAATTTTTTAGAACTTAATCTCTGGGGTTCAATTAATGCTTATTTGCGTACTGAGCTTGTTGTTGGATCCATACAGGAACTAAGAATAAATACTATAACGAACATTATTGGGCTGACTATTACACCAACGAATTCATAAAAACTAAATAATTATGAGATATTAGAATTATATTTAAAGAAATATAATGAAGACTTACTGTATGAGAGTTTGGTGATTTGAATAAAATCTTTGAGCTGTAAACGAACCCATTTATTTTATCATTCATCGAAATTTTGAAACTGTACTCAGCATCAATTTCTATTAAAAAATTTCTGAAAAAAAATTGAATGCATCTTTGGGTACTTAAAAAAATCATATTTTCAGTCGACTTTTTTTCATTATAAATTACGTACTCCAAACCATGAATCCTTCCAACAAGACCCGCTAAAAATGAACAAAAGATGAAACTCATTGCACCTACTATAATGCCATAATCAATTAAACAAATAAACTGGATTATGAATATTATATAAAAACTATTCGTCTTCATCGACCAAGAATTCTTCATGGAGAGGCAAATGTATATTATTCGATGAAAAAATCATGCTTTATTATCAGAATTAGTTGGTAGGCGTAGTTATAAGGCTTCATGAGCAACACGAAGTATTGTCAAAATTATTAAAAATAATTATTTTAAAGAAATTCTCTCAGGTTTTTGCATTTAAAAGTCATGTGGTTGGTGTTAAAAAAATTAGCTTATTGATAGAATTAAATTTTAAACCCTTGAATTTTTTATTTTTAAAGTGTAGAAAAAATATTCCCTATGGCATTTTTAACAGCTGCCATTCAAAATTTGTATCTTTTATCACATACCTTAGTAAAATATTGTTAAGTTCATATGATTATCTTTTCATTTGATATAATTACATTTAGGCATGAGTAGCACCATTTAATTTAAGTAAGAATCTGTAAAAAGGTTTTGCGTCATTCCTTATCCATCATAGTTGTAAACCTTGTTGCGATAATCGCAGCGATGATTTGAATGATCGTAGATCGTTCCAGCGGGACATTCGAAATAATAGGGTAAGTACTCGATGCATCTTATGAACTTTCCGTTGTCCAGGTTGTTTCTGAAGGAACCGTAGGATTGAGGGCATTGTTCGTTTGGCCCAGCTTTTGTCGCTGTCGTGATTGAAAAAGAAATCGACGAAGAAAATTAATCTGCAGCTACCATAGAAAAGTAAAGAGCAAGTGAATAATTATAATGCGTCACTTACGGACTGTTGCTCTTTCAGTGCACTGTGGATCGGAGGAATATCTGCATGGATTGTTATATCCCCCTTCGGGATGATAGATTGTATGCATAGAATCGAGTAGTGTGGCCGGTTGTTGATATTGTTGATTCAGATAGGAATTGAAGTGATTGTTTTGAGCGAAACCTGATTTGGAAAAAAATCTCAAGTTCAATATGTTTTAATAGAAATGAGAAAAATCACACGATTTGATTCGGGAATGACGAGTTGAATATCGGTAAACTCGATGAATTCAGCGAGCTCTTTCTCCAATTAAACGAGTAATTCAAAACATCGGAAAAGGTTTTTGCTGCTCAAGTTTATTTTGGTAAGTAGTTTTCGCACTGGGATGGTAGTATAAAAAGAAGATATAACATTTTCAAAAGGCGTCAAAAAAAATTCGCTCAATAAATACGCTTTTTATTCATATCATATCATGCGATTGTTTTAAGTCACACGATTTTTCGGTATTGATCATTTTTCTTGAATTTCCCAATAAAATCGTAAAAATTTGTAGAAAAAAACTAGTCAATTCGAATAGTTTCCGAATATTTAACTAAAAATTTTTAACTAAACACTAAAAGCTTTTTAAAAAAGATTCATTTTACCGCTTGAATAATATACAGTAAAAATGCCAGAAAATTGTTTTACTACCTATTTACACCGATTTCAATGACGTCTAATTTCGTTTACTAATTATAGATAACAGACATTCAATGACAGGGCCGATTGGCTTATTTCGTATACAAAACATAGAATCAAAAAATTTAGAATTACTTACTAGTACCCACGATCACCCAAAGCAAGACTGATTGAAGATTCCTCATGATGCTGCTAGCAAACTGCGACGTCGAGCTGCGTATGCTTTTTTGAGATTAAATCGCGATTTTGTCGCGCGTTGTTACTCCGTAGCTAGCCGAAGATGAACTATACCCGATCGAGAGTCTCGCACCGGTATATATAACACTTTTGACCATTTTTTTAAGGGGGTGGGGGTGGGGGGTGTAGTATTTTTCGACCGAATTTTTTGCTATTATCTTTTTCGATTTTTTAGGCCTTCAAGAGTATTGTGTTAAAATTTTACGCTAATCCAAGCAATCGACAGAGATATAGCCATTTTAATTCAAGTATGATGTACTCGTTTTTTAGCCCCGATCACGTGTTTAGTGTTCTTTACTTTTGGGTAGCTATATGTGGCTTTGATATAAGAATGTCAAGCAGCACGAATTCAACATCAGAAACATACATTTTTGTTGACAAAATTAGTCTGTATAAAGTAAGATTCAAGCATTACTCAATGATACATGTAGATACGAAAGCCTGAGTGGCAATGACGCCAATAATTATTATTTGTGCCATCGAATTACTTTAGATGTTTATTTTCTATATTTACAATTATTTATTACGTTTCTATACTTTGTAAAAATATCAGTAAATGATTTGAGGGTCATTTGTGGAGAAATTTGTGGTGATGCGTACGCAACAAAGATGCCTTTACGCTATGTAGTAACTTTTACTACTTTTACTTTTAAATTTTCTTCGATCAAAGATCGAAAATATCTTACTAATACAAAGCTATAACAATTTTAAAATAATTCTTACATTTTTCAAAAATTAAAATACTAAAATTGCAATTGATTGAAGCGTACAGAATCCCTGTAATATCAAATGGGAATATTGTTTCTAACAAAATGTTATACAATTTTTTTACTTTGTAGACTTTGTCTTCCTGGATAAAAGTATTCCTTCCCAATATCGTAGGATTTTCAATGATGCTTATTATATTGCATGGAGTATACGTGCATTATACGTCCAAAATAATGTTGGAGAACTTTCGAATTATCATTTACTAAACGAATTTAAACGTTGCGCATACACAAAGAACCGTTGAGGCTTTTTTGATGATAGGGTTGAAACATTGAAAAAAAGAAAATAGATTATAGAAAGAAAATAGTTTATAGAAAAAAAATAGAAAGAAAAAATAATCCTAAAAGTTACTTTACGTATGGTCAACGTTTCAATTCGTTTAGTACTTTATCATTGAAAAATTTTCCAGCACTGATCATTTTGACGATTAATAGCTTTATGCAAAATAATAAGTATCATTGAGAAGGTTTACGACTATATACCGTATTGACCTTGTTTTTCTACTAGTAAATTTACTTGCAATCTTGGAAGTGGTTTCTAATGATTTTTTAGAATAATTAAATGATGGAAATAATGTTCATCTCCGAAATGGCTCATTTTCAAAAGTTCATCCAATAAAAACTTTTGTTGAGAAGGTCAACATTTTCATTTGCCTCTGCCAGAATCCTTTGAATTTATAAACCCGTTGAAAAAATGATTTTTAGCTTGTTCAAAGAAAAAGAAGGCAGTTCATGTAATTTTATGATAAAAAAAATATATTCAACTCTATCACATACATAAAATATTTACAATATCTTAAAATGTCTATGTACAATATTTTACAAACTTGACAATATTATATAATAATATCTGTCCATTTTTTTATACAATATATAAAAAATACATAAACGAATCTGAAAAATCGTTTTGTAACTCCTTTTATTGTCTACAGTAGTTTAATACTATTGTATTATTTTTTGGCAGGAAGCACTCCAGCTAAATCTAAAGCTTGTCTAGCTGCATTATTAATGTGCTTGAAACGATCTGGTCCTAAATGTATTCCTCCGTACCATCGAGATACCATTACGAAGCCATTTTTGACATCCATTATCTGCAATAAGAAAATATTAATTGAGGGAATTTTCTTTTACTCAAATTAGAAGGTTTGATTTGATCTTAAAAATAATTGATAATTAACTAACCTCTAGTAAATGAAGTAATCTACTTCCAGCTCCATTTTCTCCGTCATCATCACAGTCATGAATATACCTATTGGTACTGGAATTGAAAATTCTATAAGCGGTGATGTTGTGCTTGGCTTGCCCGATTTTTCGTTTTGTTTTTAGTGAATCTATCAAATGCCTGAAAAAACAAATGAAATTATTACTTTAAATGCATTATAACCGATAATATTTTATTCTAGAAAAATGTTATTACTTGACTTCGTCGACAGAAGACACCACAGCTGCATGACCTTGAAACGAACTTTTTCTATCCGTTATAATTGGGCCATGGCTAATTTGATCTTCAACACTTTCATCCGATGAAGAGTCGCTACTTTGTGTATTTTGGACAGGTGACGAATTTCCATCGTCTTCTGCCACTTTCTCTGTATTATCGATCGTGAGGGAATACAACTCTTCTCGAATTTCTTCAATGCATTGGTATATTATGCATTCTCCTTTGTTTTTTCTGAAATTAAATTAACAATACAATTAACATTTTATTAGTCAATATATACAAATAAATAAACATATTTCTAAACTTACTCATAAATGTCTTGAATTATCTTTAATAATTTTTCTTTCACTCCATTTTGACGGAAGTAAGGAGCTGAAATTTCGATTCTTGGTGCAGAATCTGATGGATATGACTCCACCATTTTGCCAACCAATTCGACATAAATCTGTTTGCTGTTTTGGCAGAAGATTTTAATTCTAAAGCAAGCTCTATCTTCTACTTCAAATTCCTCGCCATAAATGGCGCTCAATGCTTCCATTTCTTCGATCTGAAAAATAATAAAAATTAATTTCAATGAGACATAATACAGATATAAAAATTATATTGAATATATTAAATTCAAGAATAAATTTGAGTAATTTATGTTAAATAATCTTCATGAGATTTTAAGCTGTCACTAAGTGTAAGGGGAGTATTACAACAATTAATGTATAAAAAATTGATTCGTTTTAAGACATTTTTTCTACAGCAGGTCTGCTATTCATTCCTAAATTTTCAGACCTCAAAAACAATTATTTACTCATTTAAAATGCACAAATGTGTTACAAATCTATGCACATCAAGTTTTTCAATTATTTCTCAGTAGCAGTTTTGTATCTGCTCCCGCTTTTAGAGAAGCTCAGTGCTGCCTCCACTTTTAAAAGGTTCCCTACAACTTTTGTAAACAAAAAACGTAACCTCGTTCAGCAGTAACTACAAACGAAGTGCATTACAAAATCGACAAAAGCATCTACTGAAACCAATATTTGATGCAAAATTTAAAAAATGCATTTGAAGAACAAATCTAATATTCGTTTATTTTTAATCACAGCATAAAATGAATGAAGAGAAGTGACTCAGTATTTAGTTTGAGTGGTGTTATATTTTGATGATATAGTATGTTTCATTAGTGAAATGTAAACATTTTAACGATGAAGTTTTATTTACACTCTAATAATCAATATATTCACTTGGAAATTCTGTTGAACAGCAGCATTAATACAATTTAACTTTTTATAAGTTTTTAGAATATTTGGAAAAGCAGCAGTAACCGCTATTTTTGTTTACTGCTTAATGCAGTAAAATTAAAATATTTGCCTCACAAAGCAGTTGATTGTTATGAGCATGCCTGTTTTTCATGTATGCTTTGCGTGTTTATTCCATGTGAGTTTTTCATTGCATTTTTAAAATGTTCTGTTCGAAATTTATAATTATACCATGATAACCAACATATTTATACACATTTTTTTAGGTATTATAAATTGAGATTTCATCAATTTGAAAGCAATTTAAAATGGCTCCAAAACGCAAACGCTTAACTCTAAAAGAAAAAGTTGATATTATTAATATTATTGAAGAAGAAAATTTAAGCCTTCGGCAAGCAGCTAAAAGATTTGATGTAGGTAAATCGACAATCTCTAATATTCTGCAAACTAAAAATGAGACTCTAAAGTACTCAGAAAAAAATGGTGATGGCAAAAATAAAAGGAAATTTCTGAAAAATGAAATGGTAATAGTCAACAATGCGGTTTTTAAATGGTTGCGTCAGGTAAAATTCAAAAATAAACCCATGCCAGGCACCTTGATAAAAAAGAAGGCGACAGAAATAGCAGAAAAAAATAAATTTACAAATTTTTCTGTGTCAAATGATTGGTTAGAAAAATTTAGGAAACGTTATGATATTAGTTATACATCTATCTGTGAAGAGAGCGAACGTGTAGATATGATTGTTGTCAATGACTGGTTTTCAAGAGTGAAACATATTTGTAATGGTTATGCAGAAAAAGATGTTTACAATTTAGATGAAACTGGATTATTTTATCGAGCACTGCCAGATGAAACAATGTTACTCCAAAATAAAAACTGTAACGATGGAAAATTATCCAAAGATCGTCTAACGGTTGTTTTATGTGTAAATAGTATTGGTGAATTTGAAAACCCTGTTATTATTGGTAGAGCTGCTCATCAATCTTGCTTTAGAAATATTGATATAGAATCTTTAGGAATAGTATGGAAGAAGAATACCAAATCGTGGATGACGAAAGATACAATGATACAATATCTAACCAATTTGAACATCAAAATGAAGGAAGAAGAAAGAAATATATTATTATTTATGGATAATGCTGCATGCCATCCATCATTAATATTATCAAATGTTAAAATAGTATTTTTCCCAGCTATTACAACTGCAATATGCCAACCGTTGGAACAAGGTATGAACTCCATTGTAATTAAAATTAAAATTACCATAACATAAAAAACTAATTCAAGCGTTTATTTTTCAGGAATAATCAAAAATTTTAAAGTATTGTATAGAAAAAAAGTTTTAAGCTCTATTTTAACAAGAATTTCACTTGTTTCGTCTGCACACGATCTATCAAAGCAATTGACTGTGCTGGATGCTATAATTTGGATCAAAGCAGCATTATCGGAAATTAAGCATGAAACAGTTACTAAATGCTTCAATAAGTGCGGGTTTTCTACTTCATCAGACTACAGTTCAGATAATTTAGATCCTAACGATGAATCCAAATTAGAAGAACTCGTAAATTCTTTTAATCCAGACATTCATGATAATTACGCCTTAATCGACGAAAATTTAGTAACAGAAAAAGCTTTGATAGAAATTTCAGATTCCGTTCAAAAAGAAGCAAATGAAAAAGAAGATTCGGAGACACAGCAACAGGAGTCAAGAATTATAAATTCTTTAGAAGCTTTAGAGTACATGAATAAATTAAAAAATTATTTTTTGCATCGTAATGACGTATCATCATTTCAAAGTATATGCGATGCACAAATGAGTTTTGAAAATGCCTGTATCAAGATAACAAAATAACAAAAATCTTGCTAATTTTTTTGTATGTAGTCAAATGAATTGAAAATTACTTGATTTTAGTGTATATATTATGTGAAGAAATTTAAAAAGTAGTATTTTATAAAAAATTAGGCATAAATACATTTTTTTTATTATTTTACAGAAAATATAGAAACAAAAAATGAGTATAATTCTTTTCTTTATATCCCAAAGAATTTTCAAATAATAAAAATTTTTCTTTGTTGTTTTGAGAAATGTATAATTAGTACTTAGAGAAAAATTTTTTTGATTAAGATGATCTTTAAAACGTACAAACCACGTGTATCTTTGATATTACATTTTGAATTAAAACTTTACATTAAAAATTAATACTTTCAAAAATGTACTTACATGTTGATCAAAATTGGCCATAATGATTTGTAGTTTTTATGAATTAACAATAAAAAATCTAAGTTGGTTTAGACAGAACGGAACAAAAAATTTTATCCGACTCAAATACTCTGTTGGATCGAGCACGTGCTGCAGCAAAGTCTCACTGAACACTGAACGCGTGTTTACAGATCAAGCATGAACGCCGTGGACCAATTTCTCTATGCCTAATTAATATAAAGATTTGTCAGCGTGCGCGTTGATGAATAAGAAATGTGGAACAGGTTTTTTTTTAAGCTATTTCTACAATTATGGAACAGTCAATATTTTAGGAAACGTTAATTAAAATTGATAAAAATGTTTTCTTTTAAATTTATTGATTGATAAAAAGTATTCAAATAATAAAAATAAATTTAATTTTTTTTACAAAGCATTTTAAATACATTATATTATTTTTCTTTTATTTTGTGTATTTTATTTTAAGTGTAAAGATTTTCAAAACTGAAATAGTATGATTTTTCTCCAGTTCTAGATTTATCAGTAAATATATTACATGAATATATTCTATGTTTACTTTCTTTAATAAAAAAATGTTTCATATTTGTTAATTGAAAAAAACTAACGTAGTCACAATACTTTCGGAGCAAGAATAAAATATCGAAATATTTTACAATTAAAAATATTTTAAGCATCATAGAATGAAATCAAATATTTCCAGGTACGTTTGTTTTTCTATATGTCATGGTTAATTCTTTGCGAAATCGAATTGAAAAAAAAATAACAATTTTATGCAAACATAAAAAATCGTTGTTTGTGAGTTTGCAGTTACCAATTCGTTGTTTATGGTGTCGAAGCAGTATGAAGAGTACTTGGTGATGCGCTACATCGGCTTGACGAGAATGTCGAGGTCAGCCTCAGCCGATTGTGGCCCTTTTCCGTATCACACCTCTGGATTGCAAAAGCACATAATAATTAAAAAAACACATGTATAAGATATTAAATGTCACCACGAGATAGATCGTGAAGACGTCGTTGTCGTTGAGATCGATCGCGGCATTATGACTGCTGGCACCAGCATTGCTCGAAGCTCTAAAAGCCCGACAACAGGTATAGTAACCCGGATCAAGGGGTTTTCGAGCTCTGGCCGTGTACCGCATCGCGTACACTCATTCGGTGCATAAAACTCGAGTAGATTGCCGATGCAATACACGCGTGATTTTATAATTTTTAATTTCAGTCTTTTTCTGAATAACAACGAGATGTACAACAATTTTTGATCGCGGGTGGGCTGGCTTCGCTTTTTTGCTGGTTTTAATTAATTAAAATTTCCGCTCGTGATCGATTGTGACTATAGTATCGGTTTGAATTCATTCCCCTTTGTTTAACGTTTTCTCAATGAAAATTACACAGAACAAATCTAAAACAAAATACTTACAATGTATAAAAGAGAAAGGAATCGAAAAATCATATTTCGAAAAGCACGAGAAATGTTATTTACATCGGCGCACGTGGTCATCCTATATGTTGTGTTTACGATCTCAACTATCAGCGCGACGAGCGTTCACAGGAGACATCACCGAATTCCAGCCGGTACGATTTCGCGCTGATGATTTGAGGATACATCAGTCCCAGCACAGATCGGCCAACGAAAGTTTATACTACCCAATACGACTTCGGTTAATACGAGTTTCATTAACATCATCGGTAAGGTGTCGACTGGTTTTTCGTTGGCTGCGTCTGGTGCACCGTCGAACTTTCGATCGTTGCCTCCATACCCCTCTGGTCGGATCTGTTATACCACCGACACACTTTTTTGCCGCCACTTCTATACTCGTAAGTAATTCATCGACGAATCAGCCCTCTATCTACCTAGACTTTTGAAGTCGCAACGATTTGCGATCCGGCTTGCTTTACCGTATATTTTTCCGATATCGTCGATCAGGTTTTTCACGATGGCGCCTCTAAATGTCCCGGACCACAATCCAGATCCTGCGCCAGCGCCGCCGGGTTATTACCAGAATTGGAACGACTCGCACAATTTTTTGCTACAGCACCAATTCGCAAAAGAGGCAGATATGACGGTCGCTGTCCAACACCTCCTAGGGTTGAATATCCTCGTTGAGAATCAGCGTCTGGAGTCGATAGGAGTGATCAATAATTTTAATTGGGTGTGGGGCAGGTTCCTTTTCTCTCGCACTTGCCGATTTCCGAATGAACCGAAGTACCTCGATTACACTGCCGGTGGAATCGGCATCTATTTCAGGACCTCGCGCAACCTTTTGAGGAACTTTCGGCAAGACGGACCTGCCCCAGTCAACGATGAAACGAATCGGATGTATCGGTCGATGCTGGAGCGAGCGCTTGAGTCACCCCAAGCAAGAAACAGTGTCACTTCTTTTCGTATTTTTGATCGACGATCTTTTGAACATTATTATGGTTTGCAATGGATCGAGGGGGAGGAGCCGGAAGCTGCAGGGCCCAATGTTGATAATGTTAATGGCCATGTCAATGGTCATGTCGATGGTCAGGTCAATGGCGATGTCAATGGTCATGTCAATGGTCATGCTGATCATGGTGATGCTCATTCTGATCATGGTGATGATCATGAGCAAGAACCCGGTCGTTAACGGCCGTGCAACAAACGCAACGATAAGGAACCACGGTGAGAACGACACAATTTTCCCTTCTTCTCATTGCCATTGAACGTCCTCTACGTTTTCTTCGTGTTTCTCTTTTTTGTATTGTATATAGTGACAATTTTTATAGAACAAAATCATTTATTGTACTTCATGACACGTGAATTGTTTAATTACAAATCATTATTTGTAGCTTTTTAATTATTTGTGACGAAAAACTATATTATAATAAAATAATAATATGATGATAAATCAAATCCAATATAAACAATAATAAATATGTTTAAAAGTTCTTACTTTGATCGCGCGTTTGCTGATTTTACAGTACCTACATCTCAAACAACAACTTGGATAGATCGAACGTTTCACATGTAAATAAAATGTATTCATTATTCAAAATTGATAATTTACTCTGGATCATAAAAGTTTTTCTTTAGTTCGCTAACTACTCATCTTCTTGTTTCTCAAATGAGTTAAATGAAATTATTTTAGGTACAAGGGTCATTTTTGTTTCAAGACCACGACACTTTTGAGTCTAATTAGTATTTTATCATTAAATCTCCATAAAATATTTCATTTTTCACGCATAGTATCGACGCACAGATATCACAAGTTTATTTCATAGTTTACATCTTAAGCGCTACGTAGCGTATGAAAACTCATAAGTAAGTTATATTAGCTCGCTGCATATAAATTGCAAGATACGATCACTTTGCCCACCAACTCGTGAACAATTTCTTTTCTGTTTTGGCAGCCGATTTTAATACTAAAAAATCGTTCTCCCACACTTCCTTTGTCGTATGCGAAAAAAAATTTTAAGTTGTAGTCCTAAGTTTGAAAGCCCCGCGCGGTTCGAAAGTTCGCGGCTTGGCTTACGCGCCAGGAGGCGCTCGCCGTCGTGTATAGATTATACATTCGCATCTCGCGATAGTTGTAGATAGATTAGACAGATAAAGTGAGCACGATGTCAGTGCCCAACAAAGAACGTCTGTCATTATCGATTATCAAGATGAGAAAATAGTCTGCGTTCGAGCGCGATTCAATCGGTGTCGTGTCGTGTGCTCGTCCAAGCTGCGAAGATGGGCACCCAAGCCTTGAGCACGTTGGCCGAGGAGTATTTCTGCAGTATTAATTCGTTGACCAAAAGAATTGGCGAGGACATCGCAGCTACCAAAGATGCCTACGAGGGCTTGTGGAACACGCTCAGCCACGAGGAAAAAAATCAAGCCGTGGACGAGACGATCATACAGCCCGAGGTTGCGCTCAAGTATGCGTCCAAAAATATCAATTCATCCAAAGATAATGATTGCCCGGAGTACTATCCAAAGTTGAGAATACAAACTGGCATGAAGTACGTGATCGACGACTCCGGTTCTGTAAGTGCTGATATTTTTAAGCTATTGTACAGTGTGTGGGTGTCATAAAATAATCTTATCTTTTTGTTCGTAGACAATGAGGTGGAAAGATGAACACTCTGCTCCATTTTCATTCATGACCCAGTCGCAAATGAATCTTGATTGTCTGGACCCATCCAACAACGATAACATCAAAAATATCACGAGCTTCATCTCTGATACACCTTTGTTCACCACTTCTTATGGCATTAGAAATGACGATTCCATTGAAGAAAATTACAGTTCACCATCGAGTCAAACCAGTTTTTATCAATCTGAAAATTATTCTGACACAATATTTTCTACCGAGGAATGTAGCAGTACGGTGAGAAGTAGTTGTATTGATAGTGAAAATTCAGAGAGTCTACTATCTAAACTGATAACAAAGACATCTAGATTAAAAATGCACAACAGTTCTGATGACGATATGGAAACTCTTGTATCTCAAAAAAGTTTGAAAACTAATACAAAAAATAATGTGACTATGAGCTTTGGTAACCATCTAAGATCTAACGATTCTGAATCAACTGCTTTATTAGACACACCTAGTTCATATAGCAGTTACCAGTCTTCAATGTTGAACCAAGAAAATGAAATTCCAAAAACAGGATTTGAGTTTTTGGATAACTGGTAATTTTTCCAATGATCAACTCAAATTCCAAAAAAACTTTATTTTATATCTAGTTTTATAGATACTTGTATCGTTTAGTCCTTTTTAGGATAAATAATAACCAAACATTAGGTTTAATGATTTTATTGGAAACATTTTAAAATGTTTTTCATTCATGTATTCTAATCAATAATCAGTATTAGAATATTTAATTGAATGATTTTAATTGAACGATGCATATCATAAATTTAATCAATTTATGATATTTCAAAATGCTATTTATTGAATCAATTTTAAACAGATTTTACACTTCTATGAAAGTTTATTTTATTGCTTTAATAGAAGAAAATCAATTTTAAATTTACACTATTTATTAGTGCTTTCAATGTCAAGGGAAAAGTTGTATAGAACAAATTTTGAAAGACTGCAATAAATGTATAATATCCAATACACACCCACGTAAGACTGCAACCAATTTTTGGTTACATATGAACAAAGTAATAAATATAAGATAGTTTTTACATTTATATCCTGTAGAAAACCAATGTATTATTATTATCGTTTTTGAAACGAGCTTGACAGTAGAAACAATGGATGTCAAAAAGTGTAAAACCATTTCCATGGTTTTTTTTATATTGTTATTACATCAATATCCATTTTAAAAAAATAAACCTTATTCTCAACCTCATATTTTCAACATTCTCAATTTTATTTCTTTTATAGGCTTCCAAAAATAGAGATTAATTTTAACATAAAAGTCATGGAAATTTTTGTCATAAAAGTTTTAAAAATTATTGGGTATATCAGATTAGTTAACAATGAATAACACAGAGTTAAACGATTTGATCATTTATTATTCTAATAAAATAGCATTACATACTTTTTTATAAATATTTAATTTTCATTCTCATATTTTCTATTTACATATATTTTCGTTGTCTTAAAATTTTATATACAATAAATGTCTACCTAAATTATATAGTCATTAAATTATACTTAAAACTGAAAAAATAAAATATATCTATTAGTATATGCACACTTTACTATTATATTACAAAGTATGGCTTGAAATGTTGATATTACAGCTACGATTTAAATATATTTTAACAAATTTTCTGCATTACAACAAAATGTAAAGGGTACGATATTTTATTAGCACAGTTGTCAAATACACAATTGAATACGATCGACGTTGATGCACTCACATTACAATGGCACACTCAACCAGCTGCGTACGATTTCGACATTACGCGATATCGTCTCAACGATTATTTAATTTCTAAATAAGTCATGGAAAAATTATATTATCTATGTATATCATAAATCAGTTCGATGGCGTCGTTACAATACTCTATACGCACGTTTCAAATGAATGATATGACGAAAGAATATCGCGCCGAGATTTCAATCGGATATTACGTAGTTTTCTATATAAAAAAAAAAAAACAAATATTCGGGCTTTAGTTTCACTGTACATCGTTCGTTTTCATCCTGATACAAGATGATTCGCGACATTTTTTTAAGCTAAACGTATAAATTACTAACTAACTATTGACTATATCCTTAGACAAGGTGGCAATTGTAATCAGTCATTCGTAACTAGATTTAATATTTTTCTCTCCCGATAAAATTATACAAACTAAAAAAGAATTACATAGTCATTCAAACGTACTCCTCTGACTGTTTGCTGACGTTGCCAGGAAGTCTGAGGCCGCTCGGTAATCGACTGGAGCCGTCGGGCAGCTCGGCGATGTCGATGAACACGCCCACGAGGCTTTCGAAGTTCGGCCCCCAATTCAGCAGATAATCCCAGCTCAGGGCCGTGTTGTTGTTGGCAGCGGTCTGAGACTGAGGTTCCGCGGCCGAGGCCGAGCCTCGGTACAGGCCCACGTGGGTGGACATGTCGTCGTCCGAGGCGACGAGGGTGCTGAGCGAGCCCCGAAACGAGCTGTCGAAGCCGTCGTAGCTGCTCACGCAGTTCGGTGGCGGCAGTGGCGGTGGCTTCGAGCTCGGTGACATCTTGGCGCCGGCCCTCGTGGGCACGACGTCATCGTCATCGTCGTCGTCGTCGTCATCGTCGTCGTTGGGCTTACTGTAGATGTTGTCCGATCGCTTGTCGACGAGCGAGCTGTTGTCGTACTCGATCTCGGAGCAGGTGAAGCTGTCGTGACCGCTCTCGTCGGTGGTCGACGAGGCTCTGCGCTTCAGTCGCTCGGGCAGCGGACTGTGTCGGCTACGGTGCAGATGCGTCAGCGGTCCGTGGCCGTGGTGATGCGGTCCCCGGGCCTCGCTGGACGAGCTCACGGCGTCGAGGGTCGACACGAGGCTGGAATTTCTCGGCCTGGAGTTGAGTCGCTCCACTTCCTCGGCGGTTAGGCCCATTGGACCGGAGGCCACGACGTTGCCGTTCATCGCCGCGGACTCGCTACAGACGCCCGATTGTTGCAGGGCCTTGCGGCTGTTGGTCGAGCCCGACAATTGACTCATGATCGGCGAGTTGAGGCTTCGCTCGCTGTTGGAATTGATGCCCTCCTTGCCGACGCCACCCGACGACGAGGTGGTGGCCAGCAGGGCGCTCTGCAGTGGCTTGCCGCTGATGTCGTGCAGCGTCAGTATGCGCGGCTGCTGGGACGACATCTCGCTACTGGGTGACAGTCGGGCCAACGGGGTGCTCTGGAGCATCTTGGACGAGGGCGTCGATGGCGACGAGACGCCGCCGACCACCCCCGACCCCGCTCCGATGGACCTCGGCGTGTACGCGCCCGGTGGTGGGCCGTGTCGCTGTTGCGACTGCGACTGCTGCTTCTGATGATGATAGCCGCTGCTCATGGGCGGCGGCTGCGAGGCCTTGTACTTGCGCATGCCGTCGCGATAGCCCTTGTAATGATAGACGATGTCGATGTCGCTCGGAGCTATCGAGCTGGCATTCTCGAGGTCGTAGTGCTCGGGCTCGCTCGTGATCATCGGCATGGGCATGGGATGATGATCGTCCCCGCCTCGGCTCGTCGGCGCCTGCAGGGGCTTCGACATCTCGCGCTCGATTATGTCCGGTCGCTGGGGTGGACGATGCTCGGCGGCTGCTGCTGCTGCTGCTGCCGCCGCGGCCGCAGCTGCGACGTTGTTGAGCTCGCGCTCCTTGTATTTTTTTGAGAGAATCTCAGGCGGACCGGCTAGATGACGCAGATCCGGGCCGTCGGTTATGTAGGTGTTCTCGTGGCGCGAGACGAGATTGTCGCTCGACGTCTGCACCAGGTGGGTATTGCCGCCGGTGATGATGGCGTTGGTGCTCTTGTTCATCACGGTGCCTGCTGACTTCTCCTTGCTCTGACGACGCAGACGGAAGATGACGAAGCTTGCAAGAATCGCCACGAGCAGTACGATGAAGAACACGATGACGAGGGTGATGCCGACGCTCAACGGATCCGCAGCCGTAGCGGCACTGATGCCGATCGCACCGCGACAGCCAAGCTGGACCTTGCCGTGATAGATGACCTCGGGGAAGATCGAGCCCGAGCCGTTGAACGGCTGGATCTCGCCGTTGATCGTGACGTTGGCGAGACAGCCCTCGTAATAGGTCGTAGCAGTTGTCGTTAGGTACTGATCGGACTTGACTAAACCACCGATCGTCAGATGACTGAGATACGGATCGAGAAAATCGTGGATGCCCGCTGTGTCGAGCTCCTCGCCGCTCGGTTGGCCGTCCACGTAGATCCTGAAGCTGCGCTGGTGCGCCGTGACGGTGAGATTATGCCAGCGACCGTCGGCCAGGCTGCCATCGTACGAGCCGGTCATGTTGACCAAGGCCGTGCCCAGCAGCGACGAGTAGCTGATCTGACCCTGTCGCAGCTCGATGGAAGTGTAGTGCTTGTTGCTGCTAGCGTGGATGAGCACGCCATCGGGCTTGACGGTGCGGAACATGAGGTGAAGACTCTTGGCCGGGCTCTGTGCAGGGATCAGCGGCACGAGGCTCTCCTCCTGGTAATGGGACGAGAGTCCGCCGTGCCACAGGGTCGTGCCACCGTACAGATACTCGAGCAGCTGCATCCTGCGATGCTTGTCCGAGACCTTGTACTCGACGAAGGCGCCGTCGGTCAGGCTGACCGGCTCCAGGGCACCCTGGCAGTTGGGCGCGGTGCTGCGTCCGCACTGGCAGGCCGCCCGATTCCACTTGTCGTAGCACTTGCCGTGGCCGCAGATGCTCTCGCGCTCGCGGGCATTGGATCGCGAGCACGGGCCGTTCTCCAGCCTCGAGCAGGTGGCCCGGACGTGACGAGACGCCAGCGGCTTGGACAGATTGAGGGCGCGACCGTTGATGGACACGGAGTGCACGCAGCCCACGAGATCGTCCGAGTGCAGCTGGCCCGGTCGTTCGAGGGCAGGATCGGCACTGGCCAGCCCGCCGAGCAGCAGCGGATTGTTGGCGAAATTGAGGGTGCCTATGGGACCGACGTCGTCGACGTAGCAGGTGTCGTCGCCGGGTCGGCACTCGTCGCACTGGTCGCCGTGGTCCTTGCAGCGCGCCACGCTCAGCGAGATGACTCGGCCGTTGCGCGTGGCGATGACTTTGCGCCAGCCCCCGTCGGCCAGCGAGCGCTCGGATCTGATGGTGAGCGAGGTGATGGCGCTGCGAGCACCGCCGCACGAGAACACGAGCCTGCCCTCGACGAGCTCCAGCACGACGAAATCCGAGCGTCCGCCCGTCTGCGGTCCGTAATTGTACAGCAGCAAGGCGTTGGGCTTGGTGGTCGAGAACACGATGGAGATGTCGTTGATGTTCGGGTCGAGAGCCGGGAATGTCATGTAGGAGAGCTCGTCGAAGCCAAAGGTCGAACGCTCGCAGTGGCGACCGTAGCGACCTTCGGGACAGCTGCACCTATAGCCCGGCTTTTCGTTGACGCAGAGCCCACCGTGCAGGCATGGATTTGGGCGGCAAGCGTCGGTTAGAAGCTCGCAATGATTGCCACGATATCCAGCTTTGCAGAGGCAGAAGAAGCTAAGACCGTCGGGGCTCTCCTTGCAGGAGCCGCCGTTGCGACAGGGCGAGCTGGAGCAGGGATCGCCTCGCTCGAGCTCGCAGAAACGACCCTCGCGATTCGCCGGACAGACGCAGTGGAAGTCGTAGCCGATACGGCGACACTGACCGACCTGTTCGTGAAAAAAGAATGATGATATTCGATTTCTTTTATAATTTGAATTATTAAAAAAAAAAAAAAAAAAAGAAGTACTTACGGAACGGCAGGGATTTGGCGAACAGGGGTCTTGCTTTTTCTCGCAGCGATCGCCTGTGAATCCTTCTCGGCATTTGCACACGGCCTCGTAGACGATCCTCGGCGAGGTGAGAATAAGGCCAGGACTGTCCATGACACGTGGCTCGTCGTGCACCACAAGCTTCTCGCTGCAGACGGCTCCGTTGTCGCAGCCATTGCTGCTACCTTCGTCGCAGGGCGAGTAGCCGATGGTCAGTTGCGTTCCTTCAATCAGGGTCTCGATCTGTCGTCGCTTGCGCTGCAAAAACTCCTTCACCTCCTGCTTGGCCTTGTACTGGCCGGCTTGGCCCGTCGATATGGCCAGATAGATCTCGATGTGCTTGTCTTTTTCGTCGATGCTGTAGATGTCGAGGCGCTCGGCCAGACCCAGATCGCTCTGGCACAGATCGACGAGCGATCGGTAGTAGCGGCCGAGAAAATCGGCGGCGCGAATGCGCGAGATCAACAGCACTACCGTGTTGTCGATGGTGGCGTTGGTCAGGGCGACGAAGTCCACGGTGACTTTGGATACGACATCGGCGTGACGTCCGTCGTTGCCGGACACGCTGAGCGAGTACTCGATGCCTGCGAGAGAAGAGAGAGAGAGAAAAATAAAACATTTTGTACGAATTTTTACAGTTGGCGCGTCGTGAAATCTCGCGCATTATTTTCACGAAAGCCTGCGTATAAACGCATACAGAGAGAGAGAGAGAGAGAGACCGATAATATCTGCGCGATACTAAAATCTCTCCGAGAGATCGTAAAAGCATCAATTTCTCTTGTGCGCCGCGGCTCGTACGTGCACGCACACGTACATACATGAATCTTCAATTATGTAAATTGCGTTTAACGAAGGCCAACATCTTCACCTCCACCTCCTCCCCCTCCTCCGTCTCTACCTTCTTCTCGTCCTTTCCCCTCTCCCCCCTGAGGCTATAACGCTGCGACTTCATATATTATATCCTTGCTACCCAAATCACGCGTGCACCGCACCACGCACGCATGAATAATTAATGTCACAATTATCACGCACACATACCGGGAGTAATTTTGGCGGCGTGCAGCGAGCAGCTACCCGTGGCTATGGTCAGAGGTACGCCGTTCGTCGTCGTCTTCGTGGACTTTGTCGTCGTGGTCGATTGAAGGATCTTGCAGGAATAATCGCCGCTGGTGTCGGGATCGTTGGGTCGCACGTCGCCGATGCGACCGAGCGATTTCTGACCTTCGAGCGCGTGAACCAGCAGGCGAACGGTGCGCGGCTGCGACGGGCTGTCGTTCTGATCGAGCACGTGCACGAGCACCGTGTGCTCGCTGGTCTGGCGCGGATTGCCGGAATCTTCCACTTGGATCTGAGTAAAAAATTTATACGTTTGAGTATACGATTAAAGAATCGTGATGAAAAAATTGAGATCGATCGACTTACCAAGAGATTGAGCTGGGACACGAGCTCTCTGTCCAAAGTCCTCGTGGTTCTCAGTACTCCCGAGTGCTTGTCAAGGCTTACGGCGTCCATGTGCTTGCCACCGACGATTCTATAGCTGAACGGAGCCCCGTTGGGTGGCAGGTCGCGATCCTTGGCACCGAGAGTCATGATCGTGGTACCCGCAGGCTCGTTCTCGTTCACGTAACCGACGAGCTCGTCGGCCGACTCGAAGATCGGCCCGTTGTCGTTGATGTCGCTCACCTGGATCACGACGGTGGTGCTGCCCGTTTGCGGCGGCACGCCCGTGTCGATGGCCCCGACGACGAGTTCGTAGCTGGCGATGGTCTCGCGATCCAGCATCTTGGCGGTCTCGATGTCGCCCGACTGCGGATCGATCTTGAAGGCCTGGTCCTGATTGCCGGCGATGATCGAGTACGAGAACTGATTGTTCTGCGGGCGCACGTCCTTGTCGACGGCGCGCACGGTGAGCACACCGGCTCCCACGTGCTCGCCCTCGCTGACGCTGGCCTCGTAGCGCTGCTTGAGAAACTCGGGCGGATCGTTGCCGTCCTGGATGGACACGACGACTTGGGCCTCGTCGGTGTCGTTGCCTCGAATGCTACCGGCGTTCTTGGCCATGACCGTGAGCACGGCGCGATTCTGAGTCTCGCGATCGAGGCGTCGAGCCACGCTTATTACTCCGGTCTCCGGGCCGATGGCGAAGCCACGATCGTTGGACGAGCCGACGAACAGATAGTAGACCTTGCCGTCGTCGCCCGCGTCGCGATCGGTCGCCTGTATGGCGCCGATCGAGCTGCCGATCTCCGCCGACTCGGACACGTCCATGTGAAAGACCGGCCTGACGAATTGCGGATAGTACTCGTTGACGCCGGTGACGCGCACCAGGACGCTGCAGAAGCCGTGCATGGGTGGCGAGGAGTCCGGATTCGAGGCGACGATGTCGAGCTGGTACTCGCTCTGCTCCTCGTAGTCGAAGCTCGCCTTGGATCGGATGATACCGGTGTCGGCCTCGATGGAGAACTGATTCTTGCCCGTGCCTCCGAGGATGTGGTAGCGCACCACGGCGTACTTGGCCGAGTCCTTGTCGGTAGCCTGAACCCTGTAGACCGACGTGTCGGCCGGCGAGTTCTCCGGCACCTCGGCCTCGTACAGGGCGCGATCGAAGCTCGGCGGATTGTCGTTCACGTCCGACACGTTGATGGTGAGGGTGGCGAAGGCGTACCTGGCCTGATAGCCGAGATCGCGCGCGGTGATGTTGAGCCTGTACTCCTGCACCGAGTCGTAGTCCAGGGGCTTGAGAATGGCGATGGCGCCGCTGACCGAGTTGACGGAGAACTCGTGGTTCTCGTTGCCGGCCGAGATCTCGTAGCGCACCATGCCGTTGGGCCCGTGGGCGTCGGCGTCCTGCGCCGACACCGTCAGTATCGTCGTGTTCACGGGCTCGCTCTCGGGCACGCGCACCTGGTAGCTCACAGCGGCGAACTCGGGCGTGTGCCGATTCTCGCCGCAGACGACGAGGGTGACGTTGGTCTGGTCCGTGAGCGGTGGCACGCCTTTGTCGGTGGCGCGCACCGTCAGCACGAACTCGCTGCCGATCACAAAGTCCTCGAGGCTGCGCTTGATGTAGATCCAGCCGGCCTTGTGATCGATGTAGAAGTAGTCGCTGCCGTTGCCGCCGACCGTCGAGTACTCGATCTCGGCGTTGATGTCCTGGTCGAGGTCGTCGCGCGCCACCACCTGGGCGAGCTTCTTGTACTCCCGGAAGCCCTCGGGCACGGGCCACAGGTAGCTCTCGTGCTCGAATTTGGGCGCGTGATTGTTGGCGTCGGTGATGGCCACGTGCACGAGTGCCTTGGTGGAAAAGGGTGGCTTGCCGTTGTCCGCGGCTACGACCCAGAACAAATAGAGATTCTCCTCGGAGTTGCCGCCGCCTCCAGCCAGGTTCGAGTGCCTCTTATAACTGAGGGTCTGCTTGCTGTAGATGTCACCGGTGGCTGGATCTACGGTAAAGAAGTCCGAGGGTCTGAGCAGACTGTAGGTGACGGCGGAATTCGGTCCCTGCTTGTCGCGATCCTGAGCCACGAGCTGGCCTACGTGCGACATTCTGCCTTCGAGCTCGGGAAAGTGGAACAAATAAGTTGACTGTTCGAATTCGGGTGCGTTGTCATTCTGATCTTGAACGTTGATGGTGAGGGTGGTTTGGGGCGCCCAAGCACCGTCGGTCACTGCCACTTTGAGGAAGTACTCATCCTGCAGTTCGCGATCCAGGTGACCAGCGACGGTGACGTTGCCACTCACGGGATCAATGGCGAACTTGTTGCCCGGATTCTCGATGATGCTGTAGGTGGCTCTGGCATACTCTTCGGTGTCTCGATCGGAGCTCGTCAGCTGAGTGACGAAGCTGCCGATCTCGGCATTTTCCGTGACGTTGCAGCTGAACAGGCGCGTAAACACCGGCGGATTGTCGTTCTTGTCGAGAATCGTCACTAAAATCGTGGCCGTGCTCGAGAGCTGCTGTGGCTGGCCTCTGTCGCGAGCCACCACGATCAGCTCGTACGCGGAGATGTCCTCGCGATCGAGCTTGTCGGCCGTGCTGACGATGCCGCTGTACTCGTCGATCATGAAGGTCGCCGAGAAATCGTCGACCAGATGATAGGTGACTCTACCGTTGTCGCCGGAGTCGGCGTCGTGGGCCTGGATCTTGGCGACGAACTGGGGCGGGTACTGCTCCTCGACGATGCTGGCGTTGTAGATGCTATGCTCGATCTGGGGCGCGTTGTCGTTTGCGTCCGACACGTTGACGGACAGCTGCACGTAGCTGGCCAGCGACGGATTGCCCGAGTCGCGAGCCTCCACCCAGGCCTCGTAGTGCGGCAGAGTCTCGTAGTCGAAGTGGCCCGCGGTGAAGAGCTCGCCGGTGCGCGGATCGACCCTCAGAGCGTCGCCCACGTTGCCACCGGCCATGGCGTAGGTCAGCTCGTTGGCCGGTGCGCTCTTGGGCGAGCTCGCCGCCAGCGTGGTCAGCAGCTCACCGATCGGCGCGTCCTCCCTCAGATTGAACTTGGTCTGCGACTGCGACTGGCTCTGCTGCTGGCGGAAGCTCGGGAAGAGCTGACGCTCCCAGAGGTGGACCGCGAGATCGGCCGTGGCCAGGCGCGACTCGTAGCCACCGTCGGCGGCCTCGATCTGCAGCTGATAGGGATTCTGGGCGCTGGCGCGCAGTCGCTCGTTGGCCCGGACGACGCCGGTGCGCGGGTCGATGCGGAAGCGCGCGGCGTCGCGGCCGTACAGACGATAGGTGATGCGGGCGTTCTCGCCCGTGTCCGCGTCCCAGGCCTTGGCTCCGAACACGAAGTCGTCTGTTTTTACATTTTAAATAAGAACGATCGTTATCGAGATTATCTTTTCAAGTACGAAATATTATAGATATAGATTCAACGTACCTTTGCCGGTAGAGTCGGGAATGTAGGTGATGAATTTGGGACTGGCGAATCTCGGCGTGTTGTCGTTGAGATCGACGACCTCCACGGTGACGTTGACGGCCGACGCCTGCGGATCCGTGGGATTGAGATCCTGCGCGACCATCGTCAGATGATAGACCGGCGTCTCCTCGCGGTCCAGCTTCGTGGCCGTGAGTATCTCGCCGCTCGTCGAGTTCACCGTGAATCTCTCGGATTTGTCGCCGTGCAAACTGTAACTGTATTGGGAAAGAAATTAAAAAAAAAGAGTTTAAAAAAATTATTTCGTATCTTTTTTTTTTAATCGACGCTCTGCGCGTTCACGTGTGCTTATGCGTCGACCAATCATTATCTCGTATACATTCGTCTGTACAGGCAAGTATGTATGTACGCGGTATAAATATAATCCTCGAGTCCACGGGCTTTGCGCGCGCGAACTGACACGTCGCGAACGAATTCCAAATTAATTAATCCCACGTCAGTCTTCCACGAAAATATAAATGTATATACGCGCTTAAGCGAATATATTATATCGCGTATGCATAATAACAACATTATAAAATCCATCAAATGATTTCTCGTTGTGATGCAGCCGAGGCCTTTATATGACGACGACGACTTATCTAAAATTTTAGTCGACACATTCTCCCGCGTATCAAATTTTATACGTACTCACGCAGCTTCGGCGCAGCTTGAATTTATTAAAAAAAAAAAAAGATTAAAAAAAAAAAGAAAAGGAGGAAACAGGATAACTGCCTCGCGGCATACGATGAGAGTTTATACACTGTATACAGTCACGGTGTGTCTCTCTTACCGGATTTTGGCGTTGAGTCCCTGGTCCTGGTCGGTCGCGCGAGGATTAGCTACCCAGGCACCGCTCGGTAGATTTTCCGTGACGCGGGCCCGATAGGCGCGCCGGTCGAATTCCGGCCGGTGATCGTTCACGTCGAGCACGACGATTTTCACGCTACCCTGGCCGGTCAGCGGTGGATTACCTGCGAGGATGGAAAGCCAAAATTAGTCATCACAAAAATATACTCATGATTATTATTATTATCATCGCTCTATATTATAAAACACATAAGCTGCGGTACGAAAAGTCTCTCTGACGCTCGAAAGGCACACACGATTCGGTCGAATAATATCTTTATTTCGCTTTCGTCGAGTCGCAATCAATCAAAGTACCCATACTGCAGCGGCAGCTGGCTGAGAAATCGGCATTCCGCGAATTGATATATGCAAAGCCGGTGTATTATAAGTTGGTCGCGCGCTTGCTGCTACTCTCATTGGTAATCGCGCGACGACGAGCTGCTGCAGCTCTTTTCTCTTCTTTTTCGCGTGTTCTCGACCTTGTGCCGTGCTGTGCTGCATGCGCCTGTCAAGCCATTGTATCCTGCATGGCGCGCGGATCCTCATTCTCTCGCTGGTTTACTCCCGGGCGCGCGCTTCATCTGTCCATATATAAATGCGATTTTATTTTCGTCTATTTGTCTGTCGCCCCCGCGCGTCCTGTGCTCTGCTCGCGTATATATATATTCTCTGCTCTCTATACAACTCACTGCAGCTATTGCTTCTTTGATTTATCTTCAACGTGTATATATGCATACGCGAGCGCACACACAACACACGAGATATAATAGTTCTCAGCTCGTCCATTGCCTTCGTCCCTTCGAACTCTTCTTTTTCTTTTTACGAGTCTCTCTCTCTTGCTTCATCTAATTTTCTTTGCAATATGTGTCCGTGCGTGTGTGTGTATGTGCATGCGCACATACGTGTGTGTTCTCTGTCCATTAAGGTGCCCATGCCTATACACATCCGACGTGTGCGCCCGCGTACCTACATATCTAATCTATCTCAGCGTATTTTCCACGGCTTTATTATATTATCGCCTCTCTCTCGTTCGCTCTCTCTCTACCTGGCTCTGAAAATTTATAACGCGCGCACATCGCGAACGGACGCATTTACGCATGCATTATTATACCCAAGAGAAAGAGAGGGAGATGCCCTGCTGCTGCTGCTGCAAATTCCTCTCCGAGAAATTTTCAAAATAAACCGAGAGCGATTGTAAACAACGAATAATTATCATTTTTTTTCTCCCTGTATCTTTCTCCCTCTTGCGTTCGCGAGCTCTTTGGCCTCTTGCAGCAGCTTAAATACGCGTGTGTGTGTATGTTGTGTGTAGAAAGAAAGAAAGAAAGAGAGAAGGAAGCAAGAGCGAAAGCAGAGCTCATCGAGGCTAATATAATCACACACACACATACACGCGCATACTTGCACCACACTGAGCGCGTACTCGCTCTCGAGCTCTGCTATTAGGAGTTATTGTATTATAGCATATAGCACGCATATATGCACACGCGGAGTCGAGGCAAGAGAGAGAGAGAGAGAGAGAGAGAGAGCCCTATATAATAGCTAATTTGGTCGGACTCCGGAGCCTCTCTCCTATATGCGTATATGATGACTCGTAGCCGGTTCGTCTCTCTCTCTCTCTTAGCGAGTGCGCCTACATATATATAAATCCTCTCCCGCGTGCATGAATTATGCTTCCTTGTGTCGGACGTGCTGCAACGTCCGTTGCATCGGCGAGAGAGAGAGAGAGAGAGAGAGAGAAGGATTATCGTCGTTCATCGATGCACGAGATCGCGCGCATCGCATCGCACATAGAGACGAGGATGTCTTCGTGCGCGCGTTATATGATGTGCATACATACATATTCATTTATTACTTTGGAGCTTTGGCTCAAAAAAGCGAGCAAAAAGGGTATAACTCTCGAGAGGTGCTCTACGTCCCCGCGATCGAGCCTCTCCCATGTAGCTTTTCCATGAAAATCCGCGTAGTCGCGCATCGTCTCTTTTTTTTTCTCTCCAAGATATAAACGCTGTCGGCTACACTATAGCAAAAAACAAAATCAATTACCTCGCGAGAGAGTCCACGCGCTAATTAGTCTTACGCGCGGATAATTAATATATGTTTCATGCGCGCTCGTATAACGTCCTTATCGTCACCGCTCGAGCTAGCTGTCGCGAAGCTACTATACCACTACCTTATGTACTAGAGGCGGCGGCGGCGGCGCTCCAATTTCCCTATAAACTACCCGCGGTAACAAGCAATTTTCCGCGCTTTAAGCCCGCGTGCGCGATGATACTACGCAAACTCGATACAGAAAAAAAAACGACTCGGCGTTTTTTTCAAATAACCGCAACACTCGCTGCTGCCGCTGCGTATAGACACACGAGTTTCCGCAATTAAGTCAACGCAGGCAGGATCAGAGACGACGCAATGCGCTCGATGCGCACGTCGCACTAATTATTCTCTCGGCTCGATGCAGCACGATCGCGTCTCGCAAACCGTGTCTGCAGGATATGTATATACCGGGCCTGTGCGTGTGTGTGGTACAAAAATCGTACACACACATACACGAACGTATTACACGACGTTCGAAAGAGGCTACCCCGGGCTACGAAATCCAAATCTCGTACGATGATGATAATCGTAATCCCACGTATACATATGTGTGTGCACACACACACACGCGTATATACACGCTGGAGTGTATAGGGCTCGCGGCTCGATTATCATAATCGTGCCTTGTAATTCTCTCTCGTTCTATCTTCCTCGCTCTATACGTATACGTGCGCATGTGTGTATATATATTCCTCGCGGCGCTTGCAAGCCTCTTCTCTCTTGCACACCGTGTGCACCAACACACACACCAACATACGTATACGCTCAATACTGCCGTACTTATTAGCGCCGAGGAGAGAAAAATAAAAAAGTATAAATCCGAGCGCTGCGCTCGCGCTCTTATCCGCGGGGCAAATTTGAATATCGAAGAGAGAGAAAGAGAAAGAGAGAGAGAGAGAGAAGCTTCAAGTGCATGTATATATACCATACGGCAGCCTTTAAATTGGAGCTCTCGGCTATACGCTTATACGTGCTGTACGTGTCTTATATGTGTGTGTACGTGCATGTGTGTTCGTACACTACACGAGAGAAAAAGTTCGCGAACTACCTTTTTGCGCGAGTTTCGCGATTTTTATCAAAGAAACTACCCGAGCAGCAGCGGCAATTTTTTTTTCTTCTCTTATAATTTTGGTCCTCCCTGTGCGGATGTGTGTGTACGTACGATGTTGTACGCACAGATCGGTGTGCTCCTCTTTTTTCTCTCTTTCTCTCTTGCCCTTTTTTCTTTTTCGAGCGACTCTGCGATCAAACGATCGCTTATAATATATACACACGTGCTCATGCCGCGCGCGCGCGCGTTGAGATAAAAATGCGCATTAATCACTTTGTATATATACATGCTATGTATATGATGTGTAGTGGCAGCGGCAGCGGCAGCAACGGTGGACTGCTGCACTTATAATTGCGTGATGCGCGCGCTCCCTTTTATAATATACATACATACATACGTGCTGCACGTATACCCACATATACGAGTCTATATATTACACGAGAGCAACGCGACTTTTTTGGATTTTTGACGAGAGCGAGAAACGAGAGCGTAGGATCGGAAAGGCTACTTAAATACTCGTTGCAGTTTTGCTGTATTTATAATATATAAGCCTTTTATAAGCGTGTGTATTACACATCCTTTGCTCGCCTATAACGTCCCTGTCTATTTAATGCCCGTTTTTCTTTTCTTTTTTTTTTTTACACGAGCGTATATGTACGTACGTTTCGCAAGTACCTCGATGTTCGATCGGCATCAAAGCAGCAGCAGCAGCAGCCAACGCACACTTTACGATGAATGCCAACCGATCACGCGATTCTCAATCGATGATAAAGCCTCGTGTGTATACTGCACTCGAGCTATTGCAATATAGGTAGTGGTATGTTAAACGTGCGTGCGCGCGTCGACGATCGATGTATATTCCCGAAAAATTGTCGCTCTCTATACGTTGCCTTTTTTCTTCTTCCCGCTTTTTATTGTATAGTTTATTTTGACCACGGAGAAGAGCTGACAAAAAAAAAAGCGAAGAAGATTGCAGAGCGAATTTAAAGATCTGGTCAAACATTTACATACGCGTTATAAGCTCGCGAGCATACGTACGTACACAAGCGTGTGCGTATGTGTGTATATGTCTTTCTGGATGTTTTTTGCTTCGCTCCTTCTTCGTCTTCTTCGTCATCGCTCTGCGAGCGATATGAAACGCGCGTAGCACTGGCTCAAAGAGAGAGACTGAACGAGCTCGAGCTGCAACGATAAATCCCATTGCACTGCGGCGAAATTTACGATGTCGCCGTTAATAATCCATCCCTTCGTTCTCTCCCTCTCCCCCCGCTCCATTTGAACTTTTATGCTACGAGCATTTATTTATAAGGACACGAGTGACAGACGTGATCACGTAAGAGACCGGGCACGCACACGCGATCTGGCAAATGCTAAGTAATTTTATCAAATAATAACTTCAAAACCTGGTAATGAAGTGAACTCGTACTATACTCGTGTCAATGCAAACTGACACTCTTGCAAGATAGACAACCTCCCGTCTAAGTTACCTAATGTACTATTTAATGTCTGATGTCATTAAATTTTACAGATTTTTCATAAACTCAAGTAAATGCATTTTTAAAAAGTTTAAAAAATTGAATTTTTTTCGTTCAAGTTTAATTTCATTATGCGTGGAAAAAAATCATTGAAAAGTCTTTACTTGCATTAGTTTGAAATTTAAATATAAAAGTCTTTGGCGCGCAGTGATTGGTCGACGCACGTGACTAACTGTAACGTGTACTTGTGGCGTCTTGTATTTTTGTCCTTTTCGCTCTGCATGCTCGTTTTTCGATGAGATGACACACGGCTCAGTTTGTGCACAAGTATTTTCACTCTCTCGTAATATACCTAATAGGTATCAGCCTCGAGTCATTGCTAGGCGTCATCGGATGGAAAATTTCCCGAACAAATGAGCTACGAGAAATGTGAATTCATTTGTTTCGTAAAACTGCCGCAGCGATCGCTGTGGCAACTACATGTGAATCGAGTAAACGAACAGAT